CAGAATTGACCTATTAGAGATAGAAAGAAAAAAAAAAATATTTGAGCTTCATGTTAGTAGTGCTCAAAAGTTTCAAATTTTGAATTTTCAGATTAGGGATGCTCAACCTGTAAATATTTTAGTTGACAAACCCCAATGTCATATTACAGATAGTATAGTATACCTGGATAATGATACATAATCAGTTATAAAATTTACTTTGTAAAATAAATTATAAAGCTATTATAAAATAAGACTCATGAAATGAAACACTAGGCTGAGCACTGTGACACACACCTATAATCCCAGCAGCTGGGGAGACTGAGGCAGGAAGATAGTTCAAAGACAGCTTCAGCAACTTAGCAAGACCCTGTCTCTAAATAAAAATTAGAAAGGGCTGCGATTGTTGCCTAGTGGTTAAGCACCCCTGGGTTCAATCCCTGATAACAAAATAAATAAATAAATAAAAACACTAGAGTAAAGCATAAATTAATAAATTAATGTGGAAATTAGTAGCCTTCAGATACATGAACAATAATCAATAAGAAGATATGACAGAGAAAAACCCACTTACAATCTAAGAAATGGTATGTAATATATTTGGTAAACATAATATTATACATGCATACTTATTATATAACGAAGTAATATAAACAGTGCTGGGGTTGTGGCTCAGCGATAGAGCACTCACCTCACATGTGCGAGATCCTGGGTTCGATCCTCAGCACCACATAAAAATAATTAAGTGAAATAAAGGTATTGTGTCCAACTACAACTAAAAAATATTTAACAAAAAAAAAAACACTCAGAAATATAGAGATTGGTTAGTATGTTTTACAAAGAGAAAAAAGAATAAGATGGATGTATGGATGACTAGTTAGTAGTTTTAAATCCTTAAACCTATTAAGCCTAAGTCTTCAGTTCTGAAACTGTTTCGACAAACTTGATATACATACATTAAAATAAGTTGAAAATCATAGTCTAGAGCTTATGTATCTTTAATTTTTTTATTATTATTAATAACAAAAATACAGGTTGTTCTACAAATAGGACACTGGAATATTATAGTATCCTTTACATATGTATATAAGTCATCTTTTCAATAGGATGTTGAACAAATATGATATGTGAAACAATGGGACAAAATGGGTTATCAGAAGATAAGGCATTTCCAATATGATGAGAAGACAAGAATGACCAATATCTTCACTAGTACTCAATATCATGCTTGAGGTATTGTCATTGCTGTTAGAGAAACCAATTAGAAGCATAAAAATTGGAAAAGCTATATAACTATTTTCAGATAGTATAGTATACCTGGAAAACCACACAAAATGTAAAATTTACTTTGTAAAACAAACAATAAAGCCATTATAAAAATTAAACATTATTATAAAATAAAAGTAGTACAATAACCATCAATTAATAAAATTAATATGTAGAAGTTAGTAGCCTTCAGATACATGAGCAATAACCAATTAGAAAATATGATAAAAGCCCATTTATACTATAAGAAATAGTATATAAAATACTTAGTAAACCTAAGAAATATGCAGAGATTGAATGAGAAAACACATAAAATATTCCTGGAAGACACAAAATGAGACTTGAACAATTGGAACAATTTAACAATTGGAAAGACCAAAGTAAATTTATATATAAACACAATAAAAATACCTATCACCTTTTTTATGGAGCTAGAGAAGTCAAATTAAAGTTCATATGTGAAGACAGGACAAAAAGGAAAGCTACAAAAATTCTAGCCCTACTTGATGCTAAAGAATTTTATCCCACCTTTTTAATTAAAATAATAATCTGTGACACATGCATAGACAAACAGAACAGTAGAACAGGAAAAAAAAAAAAAAAAACAGCCCAGAGAAGACCCAAGTGCATATAGAAACACAATATCTGATAAAGGTGTCTTCTCGAGTCACTGAGGCTTTTAATAATGGGCTTTTTAATAAATGGTGATGAGACACCTGGAAAAAAAACATTAAACTTATAGATCCATACCTCACCCTGTACATGAAAATTAGCTGTACTATAGTTGAGAACAGAAAACACAGCCTGGTCAGAGGAAAGTTGGTTTTTTGTTGTTTTTCTTTTAGGCATGAATCAAAATTAGATATAATAGCTAGGTGGGCACGGTGGCACATGCTAGTAATCCTGGCAGCTCAGAGACTGAGGTGGAAGAATCGTGAGTTCAAAGCCAGACTCAGCAACTTAAGTGAAGCCTGTCTAAATAAAATAAATAAATAAAATAAATTTTTAAAAAGGGCCTGTCTAAATAAAATACAAAAAAGGGCTGCGTATATGGCTCAGTGGTTAAGTGCCCCTGGGTTCAATCCCTAGTATCCCCTCCCCCTGCAAAATTTGATGTAATAAAAGGTCAAACATTTTAAGTGATCGATTTGACCACTTAAAATGTTTTTTTAACTTTTTCATGTCCTAAAAGCATTTTCAAAAGCTTTTGGAAAACACCATTAACAAGGTCAGAAAACATGCAAGAAAAAATACATGAATAGAGTAGACCCCCACTTTTTCTTAGTTGTACTGTCTAGTTTCAGTTATCTGTAGTCAACCTAGATATAAAAATATTAAATAGAAGATTCTAAAAAATAAATAATTCAAAAGTTTAGATTGGGCACCATTCTGAATAGCATGATGAAATCTATCTCTTTTCCATTATATTCACACTGTTTACACCATCTACCTGATAGTCACTTAATAGCCATCTAGGTTATAGATCAGCTGTTGTGGTATCACAGTGCTTATATTCAGTAACCCTTATTTGTGGGGCTGGGAATCTGGCTCAGTGGTACAGTGCTAGCCTAACCTGTATGAGACCCTGTGTTAGATCCCTAGCATCACCCCCCCCCCAAAAATTAACCCTTATTTTGCTTAATGGCCCCAGAACAAAAAGTACTTATGCTGGCAATTAGTATATGCCAAAGATAAGCTGTAATGTGCTTGAAGTGAAAGTTCTGAACTTAAAAAAAAATATCTTATGCTGGGGTTGCTAACATCTGTATAGTGAGAACATAATCTATCCATATACTTGTGCAAAAGGAAAAAGAAATTCTTTCTAGTCTTGCTGTCATGCCACAAACTATAAAAGTTATGGCTACAGTGCATGGTAAGTGCTTAGTTAAGATGAAAAAGGCATTCAATTGTGGATGTACATACAGGAAAAGACAGAATATATAGGGTTTAATACTGTCCGTGATTTCAGGCATCTACTAGGAGTTTTGGAACATATCTTCTGCAATAAGTGGTGACTACTCTACAAAAATAAGATATAAAAATGGCCTTTAAACATATGAAATGATACCCAATCTTAATCATTATTAAAGAAATATAAATTAAAACTACACTAAATTCCATTATTCACCTATCCAATAGCAGGGGTATATGAAAACATGTTTTCTTAGTGAATCTGAGAAGAAACAACTTTCATTACTATTGGAAATGCAGAGTAGTACAACCTTTTGGAGGGGAATTTGGCAATCCCTGGCAAAACCACAGCACTTCTAGTAATTTATCCCAGAAACACACCTAGCAATATAAAAATACATCTGCAAAAGAGTTTTCATTGCAGCATTGTTTATAATTAAAATACAGAAACCATCTAAATCCCAGATATAAAAGAATGATTGAATAATCAACTTCATATCCATATAATAGAGTTTTCTGAAAATAATAATAATAAAGAGGGTATCTGTGAACTGATATTCAACATGCCAAAAAGATGAAGTATGCATGTCATGGTACCCAAAAAAGGAAAATATGAGAGCATACATACATTTACTCAGTTGTATGAAAACACAGGAAGGACAAGTCAGAACCTAATGAGATTTATTAACTACAAAGAGGGAAAGGATGGGGAAAGGAGAATGTGGTAGAAGAGATTGGAAGTATGACATTCTCTTGAGTATACATTTTTGTATAATTTTGATTGTAAGAACTAAGTTAATATTTGAACACTGATACAAATGATGGTAAAAACTGACTATAACACGTAGGATAAAATAAGAATTCAGCAGTCTATAATGGCATAAACAAATACATGAATAAATAAAAGGATGGAAGGGAAAGCTTTGCCTTGCATTAGGATGTCTGCTATTCCTAATGAAATTAGGAAGTTTTGAAAAATACCATGATTTCAGGCCAGAATCATCAGGCATGCTAAAATTAATGAGTGAAAATTTTATGAGAAACAGGGTTCTTACATACCCCAAAATATCTTCCCTCAAAATACATACCAGTTACAAAGGCAAAATCATTTTACAGTAGAGAAAACTGACAGATAAAAACATTAAAAAGTGATAAAATGATGATCACTAGCAGTGGAACAAATAGATATCATGTGCCTCCCTCATATGATGGACTGAGAGGGACACAACATCATACATGAAGTACTCCTACCAAAAAAACCTGTGACCTCCATCTGATAGTGAGGAATAGGCTGTGACCCATATTGAGGCATACTCTATGAAATTAAATGTTCTATACTCTTCAAAAATACCAAAGTCAAGAAAGATAAAGACTAAGGAACTATGCCAGACTGATGGAGACTAAGGAGATATTTCAACTAAATGCAATATGTAATCCTGGATTGGATCCTAAACCAGGAATTTTTTTCCCACTTATACAGTAAAGGGATATTAGACAGTGAAGTAGAAATACACTATGATATATATGTAAGAGATGCCACTATTTATAGGAAATATGGGATAAAAGAGCACTATGTCTATAATTTACTCTCAAACTGTTATGTACATGTACAGAGAAAATAAAGCAAAAATGATAAAATGTTAATATTTCAATGTCAAGATTTTTAAATTTTTAAGCAATCATAAAATGTTAATATTCATTGAAAATATAATGGGTACATTATGTCTATTATTTTTCTGTATGTTTGAAGTATTTCACAATATTAAATTTTTTAATGTGTCTAAGTTGAAATTATCATTTATTGACATGAACTCTTTAAATTAGATTTTTTTTTTCTATTTTAGGGAAAACACTGTATACTTGATGTGTCTGGAAATGCTATAAAAAGATTACAGATTGCACAACTTTACCCAATATCCATTTTTATTAAACCCAAATCCATGGACAATATCATGTAAGTATAAATATCTAAAGTATAGCCTCTAAATACAAATCTAGTCACTATTGAGTAATTTATTTACCTTCTCTGCATCTCAATTTCTCTGTCTATAAAATTGGGACAATAATAGTATGTATACTCACTTCATGAGGTGTTTTGAAGATTAAATAAGCACTGTGATATTTATCTTCACTGTTATCATCATCTTTAATAATACTGAAGTAGAAGGTAACAGATATAGAATTGTAAATAAAGAATGTGTTTACAAAAATAGAATCTAAACAAAAATTAAGAAAGGGCAAATAAAAACAGAGCATTTGAGGCAAAAGAACAGAGAAAGTTAAGATGGTATAAATGAACCCCAATATTTCAATAATCCCTATTGTTTGTCTGATGTCAGTTCATTTCCATACTAAATGGTAGATGAAATTTTCTAAAATGCAAAATTTGTCAGATTGGATAAGGAAAAAATGAACATAAGTCACCTTTATAAGAAACACCTTGAATTTTAGGTTCTAGGTGGAAAATAAAATGATATACCATGCAAACATTAACCAAAAGTAGGCTGGATTTATATTGCTGTCAAAGCATATTTTAAGAAATGAATTATTACTAGAGATAAAGTTTAATAAACATTTAATAAATGTTTATTAAAAAAATTCCACCAGGAAAATTTATTCATACCTTTTTGCACTTAATGACAATTCAAAATAGATGAAGCACAATTTGACAGTTTGTTCCCCTGTGCGGGGGAACAAAATATAACTCCAAAATAATGAAAGAATTTATCACATCTGTCATGAAACAGTCAGTTAAAAAAATATTAATAAATTAGGTTATAGAATAACACAAATTTAAATCTTTCTGGCAGGGCTGGGGAATGTGGCTCAGTAGTAGAGTACTTGCCTAGCATGCACAGGGTCCTGGTTCAATTGTCAGCACTGCAAAAACATATTTAAAACTTTCTGATGTACATTAAACACTGTATTCAACATCTACAAAATATCCATTGATTTCAAGTACATGGGAAACAATTACCCAAACTAATTATCTCCTGGATCACAGGTTTTAAGTGATTGAAAACAAATATCTGCTGATAATGAAATTAAATGAGAAATCAGTAATAAAAAGATGATCAGACAATCCTCATATATTTAGAAACTAAGCATTATACTTCAGAATGAGCTAAAGAAGAAATCAGAATAAATTAATACATGTTTTGAACTAAATAGTAGTGAAGTTGCCCAATAAATAAATTTGAAGGTTGTTATGGCCTTGCTGAAGGGCTGAAAGAACATTACAAAGCCTTAAATATTAAAAATGTTGAAAATTGGGCTGGTGTTGTGGCTCAGTGGTAGAGTGCTTGCCTAGCATGTGTGAAGCACTGGGTTTGATTCTCAGCACCACATATAAATAAATAAAGTCCATTGACAACTAAAAAGATTTTTTAAAAATCAAATATTAGAGGGAAAATGCTAAAATCTGAACTCTTTTGTGGTACTAGGGATTGAACCTAAGGGCGCTCTACCACTGAGTAATATCCCCATCCCTTTTTTTTTCTTTGTTTTTTGAGACATGATCTCTCAAACTTGATATTCAAACTTGATTTTCTCCTTCCTCAGCCTCCCCAGTCACTGGGATTACAGACATGTACCACCATGACTAGGTATAAATTTAAATTCTTCAGAAATTAGAAAAATTTCAGTTAAAGAAGGTAGAAAGATTAGAAATTAATGAAATAGAAAACCTACATATATTTGAGAGGATAAATAATGCCAAACATGTTTTCTTTGGAATACAATAAACCATTAAGAATGATCAAGAAAAGAAAATAAAGGCATATCAATGTCAACATCATGAATGAGATAGATGAAAGAGAGAATATTACTACACGTTTAGTAGCCATTTAAAAGTTTGCCAGATGAAAAATGGACCTGGATATCCTCACAAAAGAGGATCTCCATATAATCAACAAAAAAAGGGTACTGAACCAAGCATGGAAATCCAAGTTAAAACTATAATGTTATATAATACTACCTACATACCCTAATATCTAAAATGAAAAAGACAGCTGGCATTCGTAACAATGTGTAAGGAGTACATTTACAATGGTGAGTGTTTTATAAGTTTGAACATAAGCTTAACTTATGTCTGTCTCATTCCCAGACATATACTCAACAGAAATCTCCATGTGTTAACCAAAGATATGTATTTGATTGTTGAGAGAATTACATCATACAGTAATGAAAATGAACAGTCTTTACCTACACACAAAAGTATGGAAGAGGCTCATAAACAATATGAATTTTTAAAAAAACCCCAGACCTAAAAGTACATATAATCTATTACTCCAAGTTTAAGTGTTGACTCTGAAAGTTGCCCTTTAAGGGTAGTATGGATGCTGGAATGAGCACACTTTATTCTGGGATACTGGGAATGTTCTGTATTTTGATTTAAGAATTAAGCACACAGGTATATGTAAGTTTGTGGAAATTCATCATTCCATGTATCTATTATATTGCTCTTCCATGTTTGAAAGTTATGTTTCAAAAAAATGTTAAGAAATTCTGAATAGTCTCAATAAAATGAATTTGAATTTGTGACCAAAAAAATGCTTCGGCAAATAAAATGCCAGGCCAAGAGGACATGATGAATTTTTCCAAAAGCCAAGAAGAAATGCAGATCTCACACAAATTTTTCAACTAACTTATTGCCGTTAATTTGATACCTGATAGGAACTTTACAGGAAAGGAAGATGATGAGCTAGTCGTAGTGATAAATATAGATGTAAAATTTCTTATCAAGATACAAGCAAATTGGGCTGGGGATGTGACTCAAGCGGTAACGCGCTCCCCTGGCACGTGCAGGGCACTGGGCTCGATCCTCAGCACCACATAAAATAAAATAAAGATGTTGTGTCCACAGAAAACTGAAAAATAAATATAAAAAAAAAAGTTACAAGCAAATTGAATCCAACAATTTTTTCAAGTAAGGAAAATGTATCAAGTAGGGTCTATTCCTGGAGTGCAGGGCTGGTTTAACATTTAAAAATTAATCAGGGATGCTGGACATGGTGGAATCCCCATAATCCTTGCGATTTGGGTACCTGAGATAAGAGGATCGTAATTTCAAAGCCAGCCTCAGCAATTTAGCAAGACCCTGTCTCAAAATAAAAAGGTCTGAGGATGTAGCTCAGTGATAAAGTGCTTCTGGGTTAAATCCACAGTACCCAAAAATAAATAAATAAATAAGAAACCAGACAGTATGGCTTGTTCAAAAAAAACACTATATGAGCAAAATGGAAATATCAGTAGAGAACAAACCTAAAAAAAAAAAAATAGCAAAAAACAATTCTGGAGCTAAAGATAACAATAACTGAAATAAAAAATTCACTAGAAAGATTCAAAGGAACATTGAGCATTCAGAAGAAAAATTCAAAACTTAAAGATAGGACAATAGAAATTATCGGTCTCAGGAACAGAAAGAAAAAACATTGAGGAAAAGTGAACCAGAGCCTAAGGGTAGGTCACCATCATGTGGACCCAAAAGGAGAAGAGAGAAAGGAGCAGAATGATTATTTGAAGAAATAATAGCCAGAACCTTCTCAAAATTCATACAAGACATGAATATAAATACCAAAGAAATTCAATAAACTCTAAGCTTTATAATCTCAGAGACCTTCCCTAAGGCACATTGTAATCAATCTGTCGAAAGACAAAGTTTCTTAAAAGTGACAAGAGAAAAGTAGTTCATCACAAGGGATTCACAGTAATATTATCAGCAGAATTCTCTTCCAAAACTTTGGCAGTCAGAAGATAATGGATTGATATGTAAAAGCACTGAAGAAAAAAAACTGTCAAGTAAGAATCCTATAACTGGCAAATCTGTCATTCAAAATGAGGGAGAAATTACGATTTTCGCAAATAAACAAAAGCTGAAGACATCGATAGCTAGACCTATCTACAAGAAATGTTCAGGGGAATACTGTAGGGTGAAAGGGCACTAGACAGTAACTATAGAAGATACCAATGAAAACATCATAGTTAATGGTGAAATAGTGAAAGCTTTCCCTCACAAGAGAAAATTCCTGTATACCCGTCATCCAGCTACAACATAATTTATCAGTTTATAATCAGTCTTGTTTTATCTGTCCCCCATCTTCTTGCCCCTCCACTCCAGATTGTTTTGAAACAAATACCAGACATTATATCATTTTATCCATATATTTTAGTATATACCCAGAAGATAATTGCTTATTTTATGTCATCAAATTTTTCTAATTATTTCATAAATTTTATTTTTTCAATTTGTTTATTTAACCAAGTCCCAAATAAATTGTATTTGTGACAATTAGTTTTTTCGTCTATAGATTTTCCCTCCTCTTTCTCCCTATCCCTCACCACTGTAATTAATTGGGAGAGAAACCAGATCATTTTTTCTGCAGTTTGCCCTCAGACTGTATTTTCTGATTGCCTTCTGATTTTTTTATTGTGTTTTCTGATTGCCATCAAAATGGTGTCTAGTGTGTTCGTATGCCCCCTGTAAATTTGCAGATAGATCTGTAAATCACATTTTAATATAAACTTTTTATCAAAGTCAAAACTGTCATAGATTAATGCTTGGGGTTTTTGTTTGTTTGTTTTTTGATTTTTTTTTTTTTGGGGGGGGGGGGGCTTCTTTGAGCCAATGCAGAATGTATTGAAACCATTTTGGCATTCTAAGTATAAAACAGTATAATCTGACACATGTATTTTCAACAGAGCTGAACTTTACATGATTTTTTTAATTTGTGTCTTCTTTTTTCAAAAGGCATTATAATGTAATAATTACCAATTTCAAAATTTATTTGCATAGGGAAATGAATAAGCGTCTAACAGAAGAACAAGCCAGAAAAACATTTGAGAGAGCCATGAAACTGGAGCAGGAATTTACTGAACATTTCACAGGTTGGAACCATGTGTGACAGTGACCTTTATATTGATACCATCAAATAATCAAATTTTCCAGATTATTTCATAAGATTTGTTTATTTAATATATTTTGCTTTGAATCCATATGAAGTAACCCATTCAAATGAATATTGAACTACAAATATCTATCAGTAATAACTAATACTATCATTTTCAGAATAGACCCTTAAGGTCTCTGGTTTTGTCTTGTGGAAAATTCATCTAGATTAGGCAGTAGAATGGGGACTCCTGCAATTTTATATTTCTTTGGTTGTTGATAAGGACAGCATATACAGGAATCATTCATACTTTATCAGAGGAAAACACATCTGTCACCACACATTGTGTGTGCTAAGGTCACTTAAAATCACTCCATTAAATTGTAACCACTTTGCTATACGTTAGATCCCCAGAACTTCTTATTCTTAGAACAAAGGCATATATCCTTTGACCCATATCTCCCCATTTCCCCTACACATTAGTCTCTGGCAACTACCATGCTACTGTCTGCCTCTGTGAGTTCAACTTTTTTAGATTCCATATATAAGTGACTGGCTTGTTTCATTTAGCTTAATGTCCTCCAGATTGACTCATGTTGCAAATGATAGAATCTCCTTTTTGTTTTCTGAATAATATTCCATTGGGTATATGTGCTGTATTTTCTTTATCCATTCATTCATTGACACACACTTAGGCTATTTCCAAATCTTAACTATTGTGAATAATGCTGCAGTGAACATAGAAGTGCAGGTGTCTCTTAAACATACTGATTGCATTTCCTCTGGATGTCTACCCAGAAATGATATTGCAAGATCATGTGTGTCTGTTTTCTGCTGCTGTAACAGGATACCACAGGCTGTGTAAAGTATAAAAAAATAGAAGTTTATTTGGCTTACAGTTTTTCTATTCTGAGAATTCCAGAATCAAGGAACTACAACTGATGAGGGCCTTCTTCTTGTAACATGGCAGAAGGACAAATAAGCATACATTCGACTATGGAGAATGGGGCTGAACTTAAACCCACTCATGATAACTAATCCACTCCCACAATAACAGTTTTAATCCTTCCTTAAGGGAAGAGCTCTCATAACCTAATCACTTCTAAAGGGCCCTTCTCTTAATACTGTTAAATTGGCAACTAAATTTCAATATGAGTTTTCGAAAGGACATTCAAATCATAACACTATGGTATTTTTATTTTTTTACATTTTAAGTAACCTTTATATTGTTTTCCATAATGGCTGTACTAACCTACACTTCCACCAACAGCATCTTCCCCACACTCTTTTCTTATCTCTTTTGTTGTTGTTGTTGTTGTTATTCTAAGGATTAAGCCCAGGGGCACTTAACCACTGAGCCACATTCTCAGCCCTTTTTATTTTTTGTTTTGAGACAGGGTTCTGCTAAATTACTTAGGGCCTTGCTAAGTTGCTAAGCCTAGCTTTGAACTTGTGATCCTCCTGCCTCAGCCTCCTGAGTCGCTGGGATTACAGGCATGTGCCAGCCACCACACCTGGCTCTCTTATCTTTTGATAATGGCCATCTTAAGGCGTGTTGTGATATCTCTTTATGGCTTTAATTTGCATTTCCCTGATGATTAGTGATGTTGAGCACCTTTTCATATGCCTATTGGCCATTGGTATCTATGTCTCCTTTTGAAAAATGTTTACTCAGATCTTTGTTCACTTGTTAAATGGATTCTTTGGGTTTTTTTGTTGAGCTATTTGAGTTTCTTACATCCTTATCAGATAATTTGGTTGCAAACATTCTCCCTGTCCTTAGGTTGCCTTTTCATTTTGTTGATTGTTTCCTTTACTATACAAAAACTTTTTTGGTTGATATAGTCCCACTTGGTTATTTTTTATTTTGTGGCCTATGCTTTTGATGTCATATTCAAAAATTATTGCCAATACCAGTGTCAAAGAGTTTTTCCCTTGTTTCCTATAGAAGTTGTATGGTTTTAGATCTTAAATCTAAATCTTTAATCCATTTTATGTTAATTTTTGAAAATGATATAAAATAAGATCCAGTTTCATTCTTTTGCATAAAATCATCAAGTTTGGGGCTGGGGATGTGGCTCAAGCGGTAGCGCACTTGCCTGGCATGCACGCAGCCCAGGTTCGATCCTCAGCACCACATACAAAGATGTTGTGTCCACCGAAAACTAAAAAATAAATATTAAAAAAATTCTCTCTCTCTCTCTCTCTCTCTCTCTCTCTCTCTCTCTCTCTCTTTAAAAAAAAAAAATCATCAAGTTTTCCAGCATCACTTATTATTGAGACCATAGCCTTTCCCTGTTGTGTATTCCTGGTACCTTCTCAAAGATTAGTGGCCTTTGATCCATTTTAAAATATATTTATTTTAAAAGAAAATAGGGGATACAATTCAGTACTAATCTTATCTCTCCAGTTAGTCCTTTAAATTATTCCTTACTATTTTTGGACAGTTTTTTGTTGTTTGTTCTGTTTTGTTTTAAGAGACAAGCTAGGGCTGGGATTGTGGCTCAGTAGTAGAGTGCTCGCCTAGCATGCGTGAGGTACTGGGTTCGATCCTCAGCACCACATAAATGTAAAAAAACACCTAAAACTAAAAAATAAATATTAAAAGAGAGAGAGAGACAAGCTACGTATGTTGCCCAGGCTGGCCCTCAACTCCTATGTTCAAGTGATCTTTTTGCATTAGCCTCCTGAGTAGCTGGGACTACAGGCTCACACCACAGTTCCTGGATTTTGTTGTTGTTTGTTTATTTGAAATAATGATCAGCCTATATTTAGTGTTTATATATGCACCATTAAGCATTATGGTATTAAAAGCCCTGTACTCTTTTTTCTTTTTTTTTTTTTTAAATAATTTTAGAAGAGAATTCACAAGAAAGTTTCATATGCTCTTCATCTACATTTTTTGAATGCTAACTTTTACCTCATTTATAACTTTCTCTAAAACATTTGAGAATAAGTTACAAATAGATATCCTTTATTTCTTAATAAATAAAAGATAACTATTTTGTGAATTTCCTAAAAATCAAGGACATTTTCTTATGTAATAATAGTACTATTAATCAAAATCAGGAAATTTAACATTGATGTATCTTCTCTAATTACAGATTCCATTTTTATATTGTGAATTATTCTACTGATGTCTGTAGAGCATAATGGGGGGAAAATGTTTTTTCTCTTACTGAATCCAGTCTAGGACTACTTGTTGGATTAAGTTACATCTATAATCTACTTTAATCTGGAATGGTTCTTCAATCTTTACTTTTATTCATATGACATTTTTAAAGAGTAAAGGTCAGTTCTTTTGTCAAATCTCATTTTAGATCTAGGTTATGTATTGGGAGCAGGAATATCAAAGAAGTGCAGAGAAGTACCCTCTGTGCATCATACAAAGTTTATGATGTCAGTTTGTACCATTACTGGTGATGTTATTTTTAATCACATAGTTAAGGTTCTGTAGCCTTATGCTTTCCCAGTTTCTTTTCAAGGAGAATCCTAATTTATAACCATTCCATTAATGGATTTAAAAAAGTAAGCAATTCCTTAGTTTCCCAAGCTAGTTTCTTCTAAAATAAGTCATTGTATGCTGTTGTCAACCTATACTGTGAGATTCTGTCCTGTGCTATTGGAATAAAACAGATGTCAAACTAGTGAACCAAGTGTTTTGCCAAATAAACTATTTCCAGGGATGTTAAGGAATGTCTGTCTTTAGGGGTCTAGGGAAATAAATAGCTCAAGGGCATAGTGCTTGACTAGAATGTGCAAGGAAGCCCTGGGTTTAATCCCCACCACTGCAAAAAAATTAAATAAAGGAATGTCTATTTTTAGCGCAAATATGAATTGTCGTAAAACTGATACTCTGAAAATTTTTGATTACTCAAGCATTGTTAAATACATATTATAAGTCCTCCCTACACACCACATCTTCTCATAATGTATATAATCTGTCACCAAATAGACAATTTTACTTAAAATCTCCATTTTGTATTTTATCTAGGTTTTTGAGTCTGTGGGAATCTACACCTATGATGATCTTACAAAAATCACTGAGCATATTTTCATAGCATAATAAATGACTTATTTGACTTATGATTTTGAATTCTTCTTTAGTCTCTAACCACTAACACCCAGTCTAATGCCTGACATACTAGCATTCTAGAGGAAGAAATATCAATCTATAATCATCTCTTTTTTCCTAATGGCCCCTCCCCCAAAATAACAAAAAATTAAAAAGTGGCCATGCTTGCTCTCTATGGTACTGTATCCATTCTCCTTTTTTCTGTGTAAATTTATGAAGAAATCAGAAAAGTTAAGGAAATATATAACTTATTTTAAAAGAATAAAGCTAAGGGCTGGGTACACAGTTCAGTGGTAGAGGACCAGTCTAACATGTGCAAGACCCTGGGTTGGTTCAGTTCAGCAACACTGAAGGAGGGAGTAATTGAGTAATGCTAACACATGCTCAAATAATAAAAGAAGAAAATCAATGAATTTAATTTTTTTCAGTTTTAAAAATATAACATCTGCTATGCAAATAGTAAAATTAAACAAATGAGTAGTTGTTACTAAGCAAACAACATAGAAATGGTGACTTCCCAGATGATTAACTACTTCTAAGATTATGCTGTTTGACCAATAATTGTAATGGCAAAGATAGACAATTAATGATTTCTAATTTTCTTTCTATTATTACAGCTATTGTACAGGGAGATACGCTGGAAGACATTTACAACCAAGTGAAACAGATCATAGAAGAACAGTCTGGTCCTTACATCTGGGTTCCAGCAAAAGAAAAATTATGAAGATTCATGTTTCCCTATTTCTCTTTTCCACAATCTCATATTCTTTGACATTTCTTAGCCCTTTCCTTCTGGAGTCTGTCTTCAGTTCTCCTTTCATGTTTAATCATATCCCACTCATCATGGTCTGCAGTCATGCTTATTTTTGACATCTGATGTCTCCTTCACATTGCAACGTCTGTATTATTCCATGTCACTATCGGTTTGTAGCCATTTTTCCAAATTAAAAATGGATGGCTGACCAGCTATTAAGGGTTTGGGGAGATGCAGAAAGTGTGGTAAAATTCCTTAATGTTTAAGGGAAAGAAACTTTAAGACATTTGCAGAAAAGCTTTATATACATTCTTTTCAAATTTCAATACAAATGAAAGAAAAGTGGTTTTAATCAATGATTTAGTAGACTTTGAGCAACTGTGCACGCTTAACTTTAGTAGCATGGTTTGGCCAATGTGATTACCTCTCAAGTCCTTTTCTCAATTGACTTCTATTATCAAAGTAATTACTTCATTATAGATAAATAAGAAAAATGTTTTTTTTTATTTTAAAATTAATGTCCGAATTGACTTTCATAATTTCACAAGGGATATTCATTTTACATAAGAGTCTTTTAAGTCTTTTATTGTTTGAGGTTTTCTTTTTTCCCCAGTACCTTTGCTAGGAATAACAATGTTCAAATGTTTTTAATCTACTTGTGCAAACACTGTTTAGTTTCTTACAAAAAATTGTTCATACATAATGATCATCACATTTTCTGAATTAAGGCCATGTTTAGGTGCTAGGGGAGCTCACCTTTTACAGTACAGAAGGTTGAGAAAATGTCATAGATGTAAATGCAGACAAGACATTACAGTGGAGATGTAGTAATTATTATGGGCAATGGAAAAGGAGTCCAATTCGTAGTCTAAAAACTTTAAATGTATTCTTAGGGGTCAGATTTTAATGAATATTTTACCCACAATAACTGCCTATTTTGTTATAATAAAGTATATATATAAATATATATAAAACTTTCTTTAACTAAACTGTAACTATGGGAATTATTTTCTTTACATAGTTGCACACACACAAACATATATATATATTTAAAATATATTTTTCTTTTGCCACCTACTCCTAACTTTTTGTTTGGTTTTTAAATTAAATATAAATTGATCAAACTTATCTTTCTTAATCATGTGAACTGAAAACAGGAGTACAGTGGTTGTGAGGAGAAGCCTCTAGGGAAATTAGATTGCAAGTAAAAGTATGAGCATGTTCTCCTCTTCTATAGAACTTTTCAAAAGGTTCCCGGGGGGAAAGGGGGTGTTTGTTTTTGTTTTTGTTTTGTCATTTTTCTTGTCATTGGGTTTGATTTTGGTCCTCTGCCTTTCCTCCAAGTTCTCCTCCTTTTATGATAAGAAAACAGGCAAAAACCCTATTTATGTGTGAGTTTTCCCCTCAGACACCTTTCATCCTATGTAGCTGCTCTGTACTAGAGTTGCCCAGATCATCATGGTGAGCAATTTTAAAGATATTTTAGTGAAAGGTAGAAATTACTTCAGAAATCAGTTTCTCTGGTCCTTTTTATTAATAATATCATTTGGCTTCCCATTGCTCTTTGGAGTTGTTTATTAAAATATGTGGTTTTTGACAACCTCCTCATTAAAATTTCTTAAATGAGTACTGGTTTGTAAAGAATTAGCAACATTATCCATTCCATTTATGAGAAAGAGGAGAACAGCTAATAAACTTTATTGTAAAATCTGCATGTTAAATGTGTCTTGAATTTTGAAAGAAAAAATTTATAGGCCAACATTTTCTTGGAACAATTTGGGTCATTTCATCATTTACATCCTGAATTCAAGAGCCATTATATAATAAATTATAGCTGTCAATACTAAATGTAGTAGATTGTTAGCAAATATAAACATTTTAGAAGAGAATTATAAAATCTCAAAGCTTCAAAAGTCGCATCAAGATCCCAGCATAAGCTATTTTAAAGTATTCACTAAATAATCACATTATAAACCAAGAAGAAATATAAAATGATGACACATGTTAAAATCTGTATCACATTGCTTTCTGGATATCTTTATTAAATGATTTTTGTAATATGCAACTTTCTAGATTATATAGGATTATTAATGAAATTACTAACTGCCAAATACTATGCAATAGCCACTTTAGTATGTTTTAGGTAGATTTTTAAAAGAAGGTGTTAGTAGCCCTTACAATGTAAGGCCCAACATGAGTTAACTAGAAAGTAACAGTCTTGGTGTTCAGATCCAAGTCTCTCTGCCCCAAGTCTGTTTTTTCCTGTACTATGTTGCCTCAGCTTTTAGCCCTTACTGTGTAAGGCACTGTGACTTAAATTGTTATTTTTGTACCCCTTTACAAATAAGGAAAGAGATTGAAATGAAGATCCTTGCTCCAAGTCAAATGGGGACAGATTGAGTAAGTCACTTCCATCACAACTGAAAAGACTTTACTTACAGAGAAACAAGTCACACTAGCACTATCACAATGATATACAAAGAAGGAACCTCTTTAGAACCAAAATTAGAGCTGCATTCAAAAGAAAATGTCCAGTAATCTAATGAACAGGGAATGATATACAGCTTTATATGCTTATAAAATATTTCATGTTTTTATATGCTGCCTAATGTCCTTAAGTTGGAAAAAAGAAAAATGCCTCTTAAAATGTGATGACACATTTCTGGTTGCTTTCCTGTTCCATAATTCTATAGGGATCCTTAATAAATGACAGAAACAAGTTTGTGGAACTCATTCCACTAAAATACACTCTGGTTAACAAATACCTGCTAAACATTGCTTAGCATTTAAACTCCAAACATGGCAATTTGGGCACTTTAATACTGAGCATAATTTGTTTTCTAAAGTATTAAACATTTATCTTCCAAGAGTATTCTCTGCCTTTAATACTCTTAATTTCATGTGGTAAAACAGAAGCCCAACAAACCCAATGTCTTAACAAAAGTCCCAGTACAAATCCAGAGCACAGTCAGGATTAGAACCTTTAACACCTGATTCCTAAAATGTTGTTTTTCTACCATACCAGTTTTTTTCTTCCCGTGCTGCAAGCTAAACTGAATGGGTTGTTCAATTCCCAGGAATTTGGATTACTGAAGAAAATAAATATCAGATTTTTTTCTATTGAGGAATATGCAATTTGAAAGGTAGAGAAAAGATAGGTGTTCGTTTTCTGGCCAACATTTAGACCACTTATTTCAGCAGTGTTAGAAAACTCTGTTTTCTTTCTTCCTTTTATTCACATTACATACACCTCTCACTGACTTTGGCAGTGGTACACTGTAATGTGAAGAACATGGGTTTTGGAATCCTAGCTGAGTCTACTCTGCCACTTAAAGAGTTATATACCTAACCTTGAGCAAGTCGCCATCCCTCTTAACTGAGTACTTACCTGAACTGGAGATACTTTGAAATCGATAAGATTATAAATAATGGGATGCACATAGTACACCCTAAAGTTAATTCCCTTTTCCTTTGGATTCAGAAACCTGGAGTCTAATTCCCTTTGTGCAGATTAACCTGACCCTTAGTTTTACCATAGTTGCCGTGGGATTTGAACACCTTAAAGGATTGTTCCAAGTGTTGAATAGTGTATACAAAACACTAATCATATCATCTGATACTCAACATTCAATCCCGGTTCTTCCCCCTTTCTCTGGAGTGTTCATGGATGGTAGCCAAAGACTGAGAATATGGTCCACCATTCTTCATCACCTGTAGAGAAATTTTCTTTGACAGACTTTAAGAAATTATTTAGACTTCAAAATCCCTGTAATCAGATGTGCTCATCTCTAAGGATCACTTAGTTTTTTGTGGAGATGCTGTGAGTTGTGCCTCATCCTAACTCAACTTCAAACATGGAAGACATCTGGGTTTCTTAAGCCATCCTCATCTCCACAGTTGAAGTGGCAATTCTCCATAATATTAATTGTTGTTAGTTTAAAAACAGGCCTAAGATAGAGTGAAACAGTACTTAATCATTGCAGTAAAATAGTTTCATTCGATTTGATTAAAAATAGAATGATCATAGCTTTTACTCATTGACTAACTTTCTCATCCACTTTCCATCTAGCCCAGCTCTTCCTCCATGCCACCTTTAAATACACTTGCCTAAACTGATAAAACAAAGCCTTGTCTACTGGTCAGCCCTATAAATAGAACTGGTGGTCAAGTAATTTGCTATTGTTTGAGACTTCCAGGAGCCGTTACCAGACCTGACCAGGGGGAAGTTTCACACTATGATTTGCCTAGCATCTCTATTAATGATAAGCAGATGGAAAAAAATTAGGGGAAGGATACCAGAAAAGGGTGAAGGCTAGAATTCTCTCCTGGCTTTCTTTGTATGTTTTTGGTTTTCTACTTTTTATTGAAGCATGACACATACATATAATGTGTAAATATACCTGAGTATGTGTGTGCCTCAATGATTTTTTACAAACCATCATTACCTTATATAACCAGCACCCCAGGTCCCTTTCTCAGCTCCCACCTAGTTACTACTGCTATCCTAAAGAAAACCCCTCTCCCTTCTTATCTTTTTAAGTTTCATTCAGACAGTCCATTTTCCAAAAGTTTCTCTCTTGTTTGCACCTATAAAGTCAATACCTCCCTCCTATCCTCAAGCCTATAGTTTTTGTTTGCCTTTCCCAGAATATCATATAAAAGGAATCAAATCATACAGAGCATTTTAGGTGTGGCTTCTTTCATTTGGCAAAAGATTTCAGAGATTCATATCGCTGTGCATATCAATAGTTCATTAGTTTTTACTGCTGATACTCTCTTTCTTGGAATATACAATAAGTTTGTCCCTTTCACTGGATGAAGGACCTTTGGATTGTTCCCAGTTTTTCCTACTATAGTTTTGTATTTCTGTGTCATGCTTATATCCACAGCGACAAGAAACAGCAAGCAGAAATGAGTTTTTGAGGCTAAAAGCCATGACAGACTCCCCACCCCAACTCCGTCGATACTGTGAGCATCCACATGTTCTGGTACTTGCACAGGGGCCTATTATCCTAAAACAAACTTTATAGGAATAATAGATCCCATGAGCCACTCATAGAAGGGATCGTGCCCAAAAAGGAGTCTGCAAGAAACAGCACTTTAGAATTTCAAACCCTCAGAAATAACATTGAGAACATCCAGTAGCTGGGTGTGCCAGATTCTTATTACTAGTTCCTAAGGGAAGTAAATGTTTACTAAGGAAACCAGAGTAGATATTAGAAAATAGTGGAAGGTTTAAATAATGCCAGTTAAATATACACCTCTTTAAAAACATAACTATGTAAAATATTGGCATAAAATGAAACCATCTTAACACCCAGCGTAATGATCAGTTACTCTCTTTTGTTTATTCATATACAGTTGTTCCTCAGTGTCCATGGGGGGTGGGGGGCCTAAGACATCCTCCATAGGTACCAAAATCTGTGGGTCTTCAAGTCCATTGTATAAAATGGTGTAGATTTTCATGCAACCCATGCACATCCTTTCAGATGCTTAAAGTCATCTCTAGATTACTTCTAGTATGTAGCTCAATGTAAATGCTCGAGCATCCTCAGATTGTTGTTATCCTCAGATTTTGGTATCTACTAGAGGTCCTAGAACCAGTCCCACGTGGCTGTCAAAAGATGGTGGTAGTTTGAGCAACAAGCTGAAAAATAGCCGTTTAACTTAGGTAACAGTCCCTGGAGACAAAGCAATGATCTTCTTGGAAAATCTGGGGTTTTTTAAACTCCAAAGAATAGTGGTTTGTTTTTCAAACATATTGTCTATTTTCTTTGTGTGGTAACCTCTGTGCATTTTAATATTTCTTACGTTATTACAGACGACTAATTCAGGTGCCTTGTATTTGAAGGAACTTTTGGTGAGAGCTAGCTCCAGTGATTGGTTGGCATAACACTTGACCTTTTCTGTGGCAGATATTCCACAGGACCTTTTCAGCCTTTTCTATTCTCACAGTATGATTTCCAAGTATGTGTGTGATTTTTTTTAATCATTTCTTTAAATTGGCTTTAGCAACCTTAGGGACTACTGGTGTTTATCCAAAGTAAGAATATTGAGCATTTTCCAGTTCCTGCCAATCAGTTGTTAATGACCAATTTCATTTGGACTTTTTGTTTTTCATTTGGACAGTTTTTACTATAGTAGAATTTTTTTTAATTGTATGGAAGTCAGTACCCAAGAAAATTAGCTGTGAAACTTCCTAATGTCAATGATATATTGAACAAAGATGGAAGAAAAGATTGGGAGCGATGTAATCTTTTTCCTTTAGGATGTCTAAAATTAGGTTCATTTACCTCACAGATGGAATAGCTGAAGACGAGGAAATGTATGAAAGTCCCATATGTTCCATCCTAAATCTCTACAAATAAAGATTTTCTAAATCTTGTGAGAGTTATTTAATCAAAAATATCTACTTCCCTAGTGGTATGTAAGACTAGCAAATAAATTTTTTTGAAGAGCGATCCCTTTCTCAAAGATCAGTGCTTGCTTCAGATCTAGTTTATCTGACATACCCTTACTAAGAAAAAGCTTTACTTTGTAACTTTTCTACCTATTGCTAATAGTGGTTGTACATAATAGAATGTCCTTTCAAGGTCACCTGAGCTTTAACCTTAGTGCTTTTGACATTTCTCTTTCCCAAACTCACTTATTCACCAAATACTATTAATTCTCCCCAGACATATTTTTCTTGCTATCATTTCCAGTGTCAGAAATGTAATCCAGGTCCTTAACCCACATCCACCTCCCAACAGCTATGTCCTCCCCACTCAGACACCCTTATCAAAGCCCTAATTTCCTTCACAGCCCACTCCAAACTCCCCTCTTTTGGAGGAGGCTTCCTAGTTAATAGCCTCTGGTCTGAATTTCTATGGTGCCCACTGGACATCCAGGCACCACTAAGCATGTAGTTACTGTGCTGCTTTGGCCTCATTGGGTGTCTCAGATTAAGCAGTATTTTCATCTGCCCCAGATAAGTACCCCCCTGGGGTAGGGATCAAAGGGCACAGCCCCTTATCCAGAACCTCCCACCTCCAGTCGAATGGCAAGGTCTCCACTGCTGTGGCTTTCTAACAGGCTGAAAACAGCCTTGCTGGAGAGTTGACAATGGCTTCATTTGCAGATGGGTGGAGATGGGAGTGGGTAAAAAGATTTGACCATAAATCTAAATCAACCAAAAAAAATTGTATTGCAGATTGAATCTAGTACATCCCCAGCCCTTTTTATTTTTATTTTTTTATTTTTTCAGGATCTTGCTGAGTTGCTGAGGCTGACCTTGAACTTGGGATCCTTTTGCCTCAATTTTCTGAGTTGCTGGGATTACAGACATCTGCCTCCACACCCAGCATTAATTTTTTTAAAAATTATACTCATTTCCTTTCTGGTTTCTGGTATAATCTCCCTTCCTAGACATGCTTTGTGGGGTTTTTCTCTTTTTGTATCAATTTTATCTTCCTTGTGTACATATGTTCTCATTATGAGTCAGCTGAAACCCTCCTTGGAAGTAGCTGGGGTATAAATAATTTCACTGAAAATCTTAGTGACAGAGCCAAATACAGTGTTCTTGATTTTACTCTTTACCCTTTACCTCCTTTTATACTGGTTTTTGCTCAGGTTAAAATTATTTTCAATTAAATTGATGGAAATGTATTAATGACTTTAAATCTTTATCTCCAGAATTCCCATCTTTGAGCCTTTATAATCCTCCTCTACATTTTAAACTCTGGCCTGCAAGTAAAATTTTCAGGAAAATAAAACTTTCATAATTTGATGATTAAAAGAATAAACTGAGCTGAAGATTGAGGGACTTACACTTGATTAAAGGCTTGACCCAATTAGAACTTTTCACATCTGAATTAATCCACTTTCTGCTACTATAACAAATACCTATGATAAATACCTTATAAAGAGAAAATGACTATTTTGGCTCATACGATACAATTCATGATTGGGCTGACCTGTTGCTTTTAGGCCTCTAAAGGCAGCACTTCATGGTGGGAGTACATTTCAGCAAAACCCTTTACCTCATGGTTGGATCTTAAAAGAGAAAGGTAGGGGTCCCTCAATCCTTTGAGGGCACAAAAAAAAAAAAAAAAAAAACTCCCAACAGGCCCCACCTCTGAAAGTTTCCACCATGTCCCAATCGTGCCACAGGCTGGAGACCAAGCCTTCATTGTATGGGCCTGTGGGAAACAATCCAGATCCAAGCTCTAACCCCATCCTGTTACCATTGTCTCTTTATCCTTCAAGATTATCGTCTCTGCCTGTCTTGCTGAGCTTCCCTCACGTCTTCTCCACTTATTCACCTTTCCTGTGTCTTCAGTTTCATGAGCTCTTTCCATTCTGGCTGTATGATTGAAAGTCTCCTAACTTACCCATGACCCTAAAGCCCCTGAAAACAACCCCTCTGCTCTTCCTTTCTTAGCCAAGTATCTTGAAAGAAATAACTATCTACTTTTCCCTTAATTTATAGTAAGTGGTACCATGATTATGTGTTGAACACCTCCTCTATTCTGGCCATGTGGATAACCACTGGAATGGTTGTAGAAAATAAACCACCTACTCTCACAGAGCTCAGCCTCCTTGCCATGCCACACAACTGCCCAGAGCTCTTGGGAACATCCTAGCCCCCAAATCCTGTGACTCTTCATTCTTTCCCCATTGGCAGCATCAGACACAATTAGCAATAGTTAATAAAAATTCAAAAGCTTAAATATTTCATGCTTAGAAGTCATCCTCCATGTTTCAGGCTCTGTAATGAGTACAGAGATGATCAAGCACAGAATCTGCCTTTGAAATAATAACACAGGGAATGTCATGTAGCCCGACAGGCTTTCCCTAAGTCCCCCTAAGCTTCACAGAAAAAATACTTTTAAGGAGGCCAGAGCTTTTATCTACAAAACTTGCTCAATATGGCTACCTATGTTCTCAACATACAGATTAAGACATACTCAGCAGCTGGCAAACACATATCAGATGGCACCAGGAGTGAAAGTGGGATCTCCATTGGTACCACCTCACTGCTGCAAAGTTGGTGGTTCTGCCTCAGCACACCAATCCCACCCAGTGTCCTTCAGGAACAAAAATCACTTATCTTAGTCAAAGACATTGAGGCCCATAAAAGTATAAAAATATAAATTATGATTTGTTGAAATGAAAAAAAATTTCCTAAGATTGTGGGTAAAGGAATTTTTCTACCACATTTGCTGCCTCATGAGTCCCCACCTGCCAACCTAAGTTCTTGGAGGCTGCCTTTATCCCATCCCATGGTGTATCCTACAGTTCCTCGATTCCCTGATGAGTAAGCTCCATGCTGGTGGACACCCTGAATCCTTCATGAACCGCAGCTGTGTCTTTGGCAGAGGGGAGAAGACAAGTTCTTTGGATTTCATATCACAAGGGAGGATCAGGGGGCTCCAAAGCAGAACTGCTCAGGCTCCAACATCAACGTCAAACCAAAGTGTTAGTGAAACCAGTTCTTTTATGTTTTCTGTTCTTCTTCTTAACTGCAATGAGAGGCCAGAATGCAGTCAAAACCATCCTCAGAGGTTTTGCTCCTCCACAAGGTTTTTCCTGGATTAAATTATTGCCTTATTAGTTCCGCATCTATCCCACTCATTCCTCTGACACACCCAGGTATATCTGCATCCCAAAAATAATGGACTCTGGGTTCAAGCTGAGATAGAGTTACCTGTTACACACATCAATACAAAACCTTGCCCATGCTAAGTCCAGTCAAATAGGCCTGAAGTAGAAACCTCTGCAATCCAGAGAGAGCAAGTTCACTGAATATCACAGTTGAGGTCTGAACCTGAGATCAGGGAAAGACCTCATTATGAAAGAGTTCACCCAAACTCTTAGGTTGTGGTTGTTCTGACTTTTTTTTGTGTATCACTTGGAGTTTTGCCAAAGGAAGAACTTAATAAACACAGGGCTGGGGGTGTAGTTTAGTAGTAGAGCACTTGCCTAACATGTGCAAGGCCATGGGTTCACTCCCCAATACCAGAAACGAGAGCGAGAGAGAGAGAGAGAGAGAGAGAGAGAGAGAGAGAAGAAGAAGGAGGAGGAGGAGGAGGAGGAGGAGGAGGAAGGGAGGGAGGGAGGGAGGGAGGGAGAGAGAGAGAAAGAGACACTGATCCTGCCAGTGACCTTCCAGTTGCTCCTGGAGTATAACAGAATAAGCCTTTTCATCCTCATCGTCAGGAGGAGGCTTGCTAAGGACACTTAGATTTATTCTGTCTTCTTAGGAAGCCCCTGTGGCAGGGCTACCTGCTAATCCATTTGGCACCTTTATGCAAATTAGAAAGAGACACTTCCTCCTCCCAGTGGATCCAGCTTCCACAGCTCATGCCTCCAGAGCAGACAGGAGGGGAAGGAGAGTGTCAGAGTCATCATCATCTACCTTTTACATATGGGGAAACAAGCCCAAAGAGGGGTGAGTCAGTAATAAAAAAGAGCTCAGGTCTACTGAGGACCAGCACATATTCCTTCTACTCATCATCTTAGTGGGAGGCAAAGCAGCTACTTAGTGGCCCAGTTGGAGGGGTGAGACCTTCCTTCCTCAGGGTACAGAGCAGTCTCAAAGGTAGACAAACCAGACCCGGGGTCCCTTCCCTCTCACTCATCAGTGTTCATGTTACCCATGTCCTCTTCCTTTGGCAAAGAAATAGGGTCTCATTTCTGAGCACTTGTGAGAGGTAATAATAAAAGGTGAGGACATAGTTGGAGGCAGGTAACAATCCCTGCAGTCCATTTTCCACATCCCCATCAAACAGAACCTCAGCTCTGGTTTGCCAACAACAGTGATTCTCAAACTTTACTGTGCACCAGAACAAAAAAACAGCTTGGTGGCCCCAGAGTCTGTGATCAGGGGTCAGAGGTAGGGCCCGAGAATTTGCATTTCCAACACATTTGGTCAGTGGCAGAGCTGTAACTAGAGCCAAGGTGACCCTAATGTGGTGCTCTGGGGATCTGCTATGAGAGCCACTTGCCTAGCAAAAGAGCCTACCCTTTCCTCCCTCACTCTCTTTCCTTTCTTCCTCCTCTTCCTTTGGCCTTTTCTTCTTCCTCCTACTATTCTTCTTGGATCTTCTTCCCATCTTTCAAATCACGATGGAAGGAGCTAGCTCTGCTGGGGACCTGGGCTCTAGTTCCAGTTATGCCACTGACTAATGTGTGATCCGGGGTGAGTCACTACCCCTCTCTAGGCCGAGCAAAGGCAGTCACCCAGACTGTGAAGTCCCCTCCACAGCCAGGACCATATCTGCCAGGGTTCATCTCTATATCCCCAGATCCTTTGAGCCGTATGTGTTTGAAGGGAGGCCTCCCCGGATTCTAATCTCTTCTTCCTTCCAAATTGGAACTGTCCCTTTCCAGTTAGACATGATATTTGAGGTCTTTCTAGGACGAGTCGGGGATGGTCTGGAAGGCGGGGTAGCTTGTTCAGGGGAAGGAGCCAGGTCCGCGGCTTCAGACCCTGCCCTCGCGCGGGTAGAGGTGCCCCAGCAGGAGGCGCCAGAGTGAAAGCCAAGGCCAAATTGGTCAGCCCAGGTGTCCAGTCCCGGGCGAGGAGGCGGGGCGGGATGCTGCGCCCCAGAGGCGTGGACATCACGGATGCGCGCTGGGGCCGCACTTAAGTAGCTGGGGCCAGGGCGAGGAAGGAAGGAGCGAGCAATCCAGGTTGCTGCTGATCTTCTCGGACCCGCACCCAGACCCAACCCGACCTAGTCTGCGCCATGTGGGGCTGGAGCGTGGCTCTGTGGCTCTTGCTGGCTCTGCGCACTGGTGAGGCCCTGGCGCCGGGCGGTGAGAGCAGGCGCTCCGGCGGGGGTCCCAAAAGCTCTCCAGCCCTTCGGGGCCGGGAGCCTTTCGGGGCCGGGAGCCACGAAACGCGTCCTGAGCCCGCGTCCCCGAGGGCGGGAGAGTAGGCAAAGCGTGAGGCGCGGGTCGGTGAGGACGGCAGGGGGTCTCCCACTGTTGGGGCAGACCTGGCACTCCGGATGGCTTCTTGGAGGAGGCGGCCTGGAACCTGGCCTTGGAAAAAGGGACTCTCCAGACTTGCCAAAGAGGCGCCTGGGGGAGAGCCTCAGGGTGTCCCGGAGGAGGGCCCCCAGGATGGCTACTCCTGACAGGCGTGGAAACCCAGGCAGGGTTTAGGGACCAAAGCAGCCTTATTTCCAGAGCCCCCCAGGGGAGGGTGTGTATTTAGAGGGATTGATTGGCAGGAGGGTGTGGGAAGCCGCCTGGGTGACTGCACCCCCACTCCGTGAAGGTGGGTCTTCTCGCGTCAGCACCCAAGGGAGTCAGGGCCTGAGACTGGGTTAAGTCAGGCGGGAACTTCGGGAGCAGGGATCGTGGGCGGGGACTGCCGAGGGGCTGGAGTTCACATCACTGCTCATTCTTCATCAGTCCAAAAATTAACCCGCCTCCCATCCCTTGTCTGGACTCCGCGGTTGACCGGACTCCAGGTGAGGGAAGGTTTGGGAGTTTGGACCGGTAGGGAGGAGCAAGACTGTCGACCTTCCTAGGTGGCCACAGGTCAGGAGAGGGGGAGGCCGTGCAAGCAGCTACAGTGTTGATGCTTGAAGTAGGGATTGGACAGCATAGGCTGCCACAAGAGGAGGACGTGGCTTTTGGGCAGAGAGAATTGAACCCCAACCCGGAGCATAGACCTCCAAGGAGTCTGACTGGGGAGGTGAACAGTGGAGGAGTTCAGGTTTGCAAAATTATCAACCTCAGGGGAACCTGGCACCCCTTCCTCTGGGGCCCTGCTGGGAGCTCTGAGTCTCTGACCTGGTCAGATCAAAGGGCCCAAGTGCAAGTCTACTGAAGACCTGTGTGTCCTGGGCTCTGCACACAGATTACTTCCAACATAAGCTAAGTTTTCTCATCTCTTTTCTCAGAAGAGGAAACAGGCCCAGCGAGGTCAAGTATTTCCTGAAGTCACCAGTTATAGGGGCAGGAACTTGAACCCAACCTGCTGATGCCTCAGCCTTCCCTCTTGTGTCCCAGGGTCTGAACTGCAGCCAAGAACACAGACACTCAGAGAAGGAGCCAGGCTTCTCTGGGACAGCCCACCACAGCCACCTGTTCTCAGGCACATGCCCCTGTTCAGGAGGGCCCAGGGACACTGCTGAGGGAAGAACCCCAGGCCAGTACCCTCTTCTTGGAGGCCTGGAAACAGGCAGAACTTGCCAAGTCACAGAGCCTGCTGGGGCTTCCCAGGCAGTGCTGCTTCTTCCCTCCAGCCTCCGCCTCCACCTAGGCAGGTGGAGGGAGGTGGGGCAGCTGCTCAGCTGTCCTGGGAGATCGTCCACTCCTCAGTAATGGGTCAGGTTCTGAGCTGCCCCAATCTGTCAATGTCCCTGATTAGGAGGCCCTGAGCACGCCTTGCCCTGTCTCTGTACCCTGTGGGAGGGCAAGACTGTTGAAGGGGACTGGCTATCTGGACTGAGGCTGGAGCCATTTAGGGCACTTGGATGGGCCACGTTGGGAGCTAGACCTCACTGTCTCCTGCCTCCAGTGCTCGGCCAAGTCGAGGTCCGGTGGTGCACCACGTCAGATCCAGAGCAGCAGAAGTGCAGCGACATGAGCAAGGCCTTCCAGGAGGCAGGCATCCAGCCCTCCCTCCTCTGCATCCAGGGCATCTCTGCTGATCACTGTGTCCAGCTCATCACGGTGAGGCCTCTCCCCCGCCACCCCGCCCTGCTCCTGCCACCACTGGCCTAGACAAGAGGGCTCTGACTCAGGAGAAGTGCACAGCACAACAGCCTCATTCACTGGGAAAGGGGCCGGTGTCCCTCTGCCAGGGCTGGGCAATAGGATCTCTTGAGTTTCCCGGCAACAAGGGTCAGTTTGTTTCCTCCCAGCCCAGGCCAGGCTGGAGGCCGAGGGAGAGTGTCTGCTCAGATGGGTGCTGCTGGAGAAAGGTGTCTGAGAGGCAGGGCTTCCCTTCCACAAGGCCCCTGCTGGCATGGGGACACCACCCACGATGGGGGTGGGGGCAGACAGCGGTGACCTTTCCACGGTGACCTTTCATGGTTGTTACTTGCTGCCATGGAACTTTCCACAGTGACGCTTGTATGGATTCTGGGAAGAAGTCAAAGAGGCCTTGGCCAGGAGTGTTCCCTCTAAACTGGCACTGGTGGTCTTCAGAGGCAGCACAGGACTGGGAAGGACATTGCAGACCTCCGTGGGGCCAAGGCCTTGGGTCAGGCTCCACTGTGAGGGCAGACACCAGTTACTGTGAACCCTAATCTCATCCCTTCTTCCCGTAACATGATGACAGTGCACTTTCATTCATGTTTAAAGATAAAAAGGAAAAAAAAAAAAGAGGGCATCTATGGGATTCAGTCTCCATAGACTATTTGAGAGGAAAAACCTAAGAACAGGGCTGAGAAATAGGAAAGTAAGGAAGACTCGCTTTTTATAACTTGGCACTTTGTATTATCTGATTTTTTTTTACTACATGCATCTATTATGATACTCTAAAATAAACAATTAATATTTTTAAAAATAGCAAGAGTTAGAAAAATAAGGTGAGTCTTCATCCTGATAAAGGGGAAGAGCCCTGGGCTCCTCCAGATTGGGATAGACAAAAAGCACAGCACACATCTCCAGGACTTTTCAGGTGTCCCTAGGCCACCTGGAGGCGTTCCTGAGTTCCTCATGAAAGGCCAGTTGGGCAGGACTGGGTGACCTGAATGTTTCTTACTAGGCCCAGGAGGCTGACGCCATCACTCTGGATGGAGGAGCCATCTATGAAGCGGGGAAGGAGTATGGCCTGAAGCCTGTGGTCGGCGAAGTGTATGATCAAGGTACAGGACAGAGTGGGAGAGAGAGCAAGGCCCCCACCCAGAAGTCAACTCACAAGTCTGGGCTGCCTGACCCTGCAGCCTCTGAGCTGGCCATTAGACCTGTCCACAAAGCAGTCATGGGTCCCAGGCTGATAGACCCTCTGGCAAGCCCCTAGCTCGCTCTTGAAGCCCCTGGGCAAGAAAGCCAGGGACACAGAGGGTTGACCTGAGTCCTTCCTCATGGGGAGTCCAGTTCCCCTAACTTTTGCCACCAAACCTGGTGCAGTGGTGGGCATGGAGCTGAATGAATGATTGCCTGTATGACCAAGGTTTTGGTGATGCTCAGCTACCCGAAAACATCATGGCTCTCTGTGGGAGGCAGCGTGGACAGGTGGAGAGAGGAACCACAGAGCCCAACGGACCAAGAGCACATTGGAAGGAGCTTTGTGAGCTCCTTTACCCCATCCCTGCCTCTCACAGCAGATCTGCCCTCAGTTCACCCTGCCTTGGCATCTCCCCACCACCTCTGCCTGTTCAATGTCTAACCACTGTCAGAGTCAGTGAGGTGGTCACCTCCCCCAGGAGCTTCCCAGAGCCCCTCTCACCCTTGCTAAGGGCCTCTCTTCCCTTCCTTGTGATTCCCCAAGGAGGACCTAGTTCTCATCTTTGTGTACCCCTGGTTCTCTACACAGGGTCTCACTCAGAGAAGGCACTAGCTAGGTACTTGTTGAACTGATTGTCACATGACAACACATAGTCCAGTTCTGCTTTCCATGGAAGTTAGGCTGAACACACTCTTTCTTTTCAGTTCAATACCTCCATTGAGCACCTACTGCATAGGAAGCAGGAGACCTTGCTTCTGCTGCCGAGAACAGGAGTGAGACAGGGAACAAATAGGCAGCAAAAACTGCAGTGACCCAGGTGGCGGGTACAGTGAAGAAAAGGAAGGGCCATGAGAGGAGAAGTGAGGGGCATGGGGAAACCTACAAAATAGGGCAAACGAGGGTTCTCCATGGAGTGACATTTAAGCTGAGACCTGACAATGATCCCAGGTAGGCAAGAGCCTGGTAGGTCCAGGATCTGGAAGGAAAGGGAGGATGGATGAGTCAGAGGTGGTGCTGGACAGCACTGCTTGAGTTGGCAGGAGCCAGACTCAGGAGAGGGACAGGGGGCCATTGGGTCATCAGTCCCCACAGATGAGTCACCTGTGTCTTGTCTGATCGGCCCCTTCTGGGCCACTCTTGGCCCAGGGAAATCTTGCGAGGCTATAGAGACACACACAGCCCCCCATGGCCACTCAGGGTCTTAAGTGACTTGGGACCACATTGCTAGTACTTTCTGCGTCTCTGTCTCTTTTTCGTTCTCCCTCCCCTCATCACTAGGACATTGCTTTTCCCAACACCAGGAAGCCCCTGCCCTGCTCCCCCTGTCCCTCCGAGCCATCTTCTCCCCATAACCACCACATCCTTCCCTCAAGCCCGCCACGTTCTTCTCAGGACCTAGGGTTTTGGAAAGCAAAAGACATGCAGGCTACTTCTGCTTTCTGTCCAGCTACAGAGCTGGACACATGCACAAATGCAGCCGCAGCCCAGCGCCAGCTGTCTTGGGAAGGAAAAGTAGGTGGGGAAACGGTGAATGAATTATTATCTTGGGATAGTATCTATCTCTTGAGGCTGGAGGAGGGCCAGGTCTCTTGAGAAGACATGGATTGTGCCCTCTTGCTCTCTCTGTAATCCAGTGCCATCCACATGTCCATGTACACCCGTGTGTACACACATGTGCTCCACACCTGCACACCCATGCTATTCCCACAGCCTTCCCAGCAGAGTGGCACTGTGGCCATCTTGAGGCTTTTCCCTTGCCACCCTCACTCCTCCACCTCCCTCCTAGAGGTTGGGACCTCCTATTATGCTGTGGCTGTAGTCAGGAGGAACTTCAATGTGACCATAAACACCCTGAAAGGAGTGAAGTCCTGCCACACGGGCATCAACCGGACAGTGGGCTGGAATGTGCCTGTGGGCTACCTGGTGGAGAGCGGCCGCCTCTCAGTGATGGGCTGTGACGTGCTCAAAGGTAAGGACTCAAGGCTCGTCACAGGGTGCCTGGGTGTCCCCTCCTTCCCTGCCGCGAAGTCTGTGGAATCACCACCTCCACTTTGCTGGCCAGCCCTGTGCGGCTGCCATTTGTGTTTCTTCACTTATTGGCCCCTATAGTATGTGGCTTTCACTCACTTGTCATCGTGGCCCACATGACAGCTAAGCACAGGTCTAGCCCACAGTAGGGAGGCGTGAGTCACCAAGGAGTGGCTGCCACTGGTACAGACCTGGTGCAGGTCATCAGAAGCATGAAGGATCAGAAACACTATATTTTCAGGACCCAAGCTCCTGATTTGCACCCAGAAAGCTCCCAAGTGGCTCAAGAGTCCAGCCAGCTGTTAACCCAGCACAACCCCTGCCTGGGAGCCCAGACTCTCAGATGGAGGCCAGGTGTGGGTGGCTTTTCTGTCACAGGACATGTTTATCTACTCCTCTGGGAGGACAAAGAGAGAAGACCAAGATGGCACTCATCCTGGCTGAGGGTCATGGCTTGCCTGGCACAGTGCAGGAAGTAGGGCATCCTCCCTTGTCACAGGACAAATATTTGTGAAGGGAGTGTACCTGGGGCCTAAGTGCTAGCAGGACCCCAAACAACACCCAAGTCAGCAGAACTAACCTCTTCACTGCAAGGCTCCTTCTCAGCTCCTCTCCTCCCACCATGATTTGAGAAGTGTTGTCTGTCCCCAGGACAATACTTGTTAAGTCACAACCCCCTTCATTAACCACACGTACAGATTTGGAAATGAACCCCAGAGAGAACAGCATCCAGTTGATATTTAGTTGTCCTGTGTGGACATTTGTGAGTAAATGTTGTACTCCCATGGAAACTTTTAAACAGCAACAGTCCCACCCGATTGCACATTGCCAATGTCCTGGACCCAGTGTGAGAATCACTGATCTCATCCACTTCTCCAGTTTTACTCAGGCTGAAGAAGGTGAGACAATTCTCAGAAGCATCCAGACGAGGGGCTCCATGTAGAGCACCCCCACCACAAAACAGCCTGCGTCTGTAGAAAGTGTAGCCTGCCAAGTAACCTCTTTCTGCTCTATTTCCACAGCTGTCAGTGACTATTTTGGGGGCAGCTGCGTCCCAGGAGCAGGAGAAACCAGATATTCGGAGTCCCTCTGTCGCCTCTGCCGGGGTGACACCTCTGGGGAGGGTGTGTGTGACAAGAGCCCCCTGGAGAGATACTATGACTACAGCGGAGCCTTCCGGTGAGGGTGCCTAGAGAGGGACAGGGAGGGAAGCTGAGTGGGAGGTGGAGGGAAAACATTTTGCCCAGAGAGGCCACACGGGGAGTGGCAGTGTATCAAAGCATCCTTTATACAGTTCTGTGCTGTGCCCTGGCTCGTTTATTAACATCAAACCAGAATGTGCCAGGCTGGATTTGCTCATAAAGTCAACATGTTTGGTGTATTTAGAGAAGGGAGGGCTCAGAGAAAGGAAAATGGAAAAAGCCACCCTTTGGCTACTCCGGGACCCCATTCTGGTGTCTCCCACCAGCAGGGAGGGCCATGGGGTGGGGGAGTACAACTGGACACTTTGTCTGGTCCCTTCTCTGCAGCTAGTTCAGGCTGGTACTTTGGATGACCAAGGACCCCAAAGAGTATAACAGCTCATGGTTCAATTGTATTTGTCTCCAAATGAGAGGATGTAATGGAAACCTAAGCATTTCTAGCTGCCAATCCTCAGTGTCTGCACCTGGAGCAGGGATATCTGCTGGTCCCCATACCCAGGAGGTGGCCTGGGTGAATGCAGATTTTGCACAGAAATGAAAACACTCCTCCCTACCTCCTCCATGTCCTGGGCTGCCTGCCCATCCTGCCTGCCTCTTAGAGTCCTCTGCTCTTTCCTGGTCCAATTCCTGCTTATTTTCTGGCTGTAGAGAACCAAGTAGTTGCCAGGCATGGTGGTGCACACTGTAATCTCAGCAGCTCAGGAGGCTGAGACAGGAGGATTGTGAGTTCAAAGCCAGACTCAGCAAAAGCAAGACATTAAGCAACTCAGTGAGACCCTGTCTCTAAATAAAATGCAAAAATAGGGATGGGGATGTGGCTCAGTGGTTGAGTGGCCCTGAGTTGAATCCCCAGTACAAAAAAAAAAAAAAAATAGAGAGAGAACCAAGTAGTCCCTTTTCCTAGCAGGCCCTGACCTGCCTCCCACACTGGGCATTTTCATATAGATAACTGCGTCAAGGCCACTACTACTCAGGATTTTTTTGGTATGGTGTGAGAAGATCTTCTAGTCAGATTCCCTGCTTCAGCAGGATCATATTCAGGATGTATATGATTATAAAGAATCTTTCCTCCTCATGGCGACCCCATAGGGAGCTGCTTTCTCATCCCCACTTGACAGATGATAGGGCGAGGAAGGGTCCACAGTTTGGCAAAGCCACACAGTCAGCAAGCCAGGGAGATGGAGCCCGGGACTGCTGGACTAGGAAATGTGTGTCCCAGGGCCACCCCTGAAGCCCAGGCTACACCTCCAACAGTGGAATATGGGTGGGACCCAGGGGCTGAGGGGAGAATGGCCCCACCCAGGATCATGGTTTCTCCTCCACAGGTGTGTGGCAGAAAAGGCAGGGGACGTGGCCTTCGTGAAGCACAGCACTGTGCTGGAGAACACTGATGGTGAGTAAGTAAGGCCCAGGCTGACTGGGGTGGGCCCCCAGATGGTACCAGATGCTCAATGCTGCTTGAGTCTCTGGGTGACCTTGGACCAGTCCCATGATCTCTGAACCTTAGCACTCCTATCTGCAGAAAGGAAGTTCATTTCATCAAAGGTCTCCCACGGGCTCTGCAGGGTGCGGGGCCAGTGATTAGCAAGAGGAGGCTCTGATTTGTATGTGGCATTAGGTTCCTTCCGTTTCAACTTGATAATCGGTATCTGCCTTTTTAAAGATGGTTTCAGGAGAGTTCATCCACTGTCCCTTCTGGCATTTTTCTCCCATTTCCTGAAAAGCCATTCCTTGTCCCCCTGGGCAAGGTCTTATTTAAGATAGGTCGTTATGTATGTTAGTCAGCTTTTACGCTACTGTGACTAAAAGACCTGACCAGAACAACTGTAGAGGAGGAAAAGTTGATTTGAGAGCTCACGGTTTCAGAGGTCTCAGTCCATAGACAGTGGGCTCCATTCCTCGGGGCTCAAGGTGGGCAGGACAACATGGCAGAAGAGTGTGGAGGAAGGAAGTGGCTCACCTGATGATCTGAAAGCAGAGAGAGACTCCACTGGCCAGATACAAATTATATACCTCAAAGGCACAACCCAGTACCCACCCCCTCCAGCCTCACCCCACCTGCCCTCAGTTACCACCCAGTTAATCCCATCAAGTGATTAGTTCACTGATTGAGTTAAGGCTCTATAACTCAATCACTTGTCCTCTGAACCTTCTTGCATTGTCTCCTGTGAGCTTCTGGGGGACACTTCACATCTAAACCATAACAGTTGGTGTGCTAGGCAAGGTGGTACATGCCTGTAATCCTCGTGGTTCAGGAGGCTGAAGCAGGAGGATCACAAGTTCAAGGCAAACCTTAGCAACTTAGTGAGGCCTTGAGCAATGTAGCAAGAACCTATCTCAAAGTAAAATATAAAAAGGGCTAGGGATGCGACTCAGTGGTTATGTGCCCCTGGTACCCAAAACAAAAAAAGGTTGATGTTATGTGTTGGTCCATTATATAGTTGTCATTTAAAATTTTTCTTCATTTTGAAATAACTGAGTTTTAGAAAAGTTGCTAGAATAATTCAAAGTACTCCCGTCTATTCTTCACCCAGATTCCAGCTTTCAGAGTTTGGTCACATTTGATCTATCATGTGTGGCAGGCAGTACATTTGCCTGTGTCATACCCCTTGAAAACTTTAGGACACATCTCCTAAGAACAAGGAGGTATACCTAGCATGAAATCAAATCAAGAAATGTACCATTGATGTACTATTACCTAATCTGCAATCGATATTCCAGATTCACCAATTGTCCCAACTCTGTCTTTTGTAGCAATTTTTTCAGATCCACGACCTATCTGTGTGTGATCACATGTGGTATTTAGATATTGGAGCTCTTCAATTTCCTTGATCCTAGGACAGGATGTTTATGGAAAAAAATTGACAACAGCCAATGAGTGGAATTGACATAAATGTCTAAAGTAGTAAAGTAATATAACTTTGACCCTCATAGATGAGAAACAAGAGTAATGAATGGAAGTACACAAATGGCACCTTTATCTTGTAGGAAAGCAAATGACACCACAGAGATCTATGCAAAGGTTTTGCAGCAATTTAGAAACAGAGAAAAGTTGGAGAGTGCAGGGAGAGATTTGCACCGAGTAACAAGAGTGTCACAGACAAAAAAACATTTCTAGAGTTTTCCTGTTGTTTGGGAGTGTTATTTTTAAATCACTTTGGAATGAAAGTTTTTATGACCCCACAAATTATCTGTTCCTTCCTATTTCCTAGCAGCGGTTCACCTCTGGTTGTAAATTTAAAACTCAAAAAAAATATTGTTATGTAGGACCATCTGTGGCTGGGTTCTGTGCCTAATATTAGTCAATCTGTCTTCTTAATATTGATTTTCAGTGTTGATGTCACTCTTTCAAATAAATCTTTTTTTTTTTTTTTTTTGGCAGTACTAGGGATTGAACCTAGCCAGGTGTACTCTACACCTACATGGAGCTACACCCCCAGCCCTTTTTATTTTTTATTTTGAGACAGGGTCTTACTAAGTTACCCAGGCTGGTCTTGAATTTGTAATCCTCCTGCCTCAGGTCACAGGTGTATACCACCAGGCCTAATAGGAAATAAATAAGTTTTGTGGAAAGTTTCTAACAGTATAGAAAAATACTTTATAGAGACAAGTGGGTGGGCTAGAAAAAAGAACTTAAAGGAAATAGACCAAAATATTAGTAACTGGGGTTGCGGGTAAGGCTCTGGGGAGTTACCCTTTGCTCTCTGGCGTATGGTTCTGGGTAGATTTTGTCAGGGTGTGTTCTCACCATGTTCCCTGCTCCCTGTCCCCTGGCCTCTGCCTTCTTGGTACATTTATCTCTCTCATCCTGAGCTTCTCTTATTTTCTTACTCTTTTTATCTTTAATAAGTAGTCTTATGTATATGTGTTGTATTGCCATTAGATTTGTTAAATCCGATTTATTAATAGAAACTGGTAAGAGGTAGAAAATATAAGCAAACAGACGCAGACCATGTAGACACCAGGTCCTGGAGGTGTACCCCTAAGCTGGCCCCTAAACAGCCCTGTGGTGCTGTTTCTCACCTCCATAACACCTAGCCCCCAGGCTTCCTCTCCTGTCCCTCTGGCTGCCCTCCCTAGGATAGGAGGTGGCTCACCAGCCTTCCCATCTTCACAGGGAAAACTCTGCCCTCCTGGGGCCAGACCCTGCTGTCGAAGGACTTTGAGCTGCTATGCAGAGATGGCAGCCGAGCCGATGTCACTGAATGGAGGCGATGCCACCTGGCTCGGGTGCCTGCACACGCTGTGGTTGTCCGGGCTGACATGGACGGGGGCCTCATCTTCAGGTTGCTCAATGAAGGCCAGGTGAGACGAGGCACCCCACCCCTCAAAGCCTCCCAGCTGGTGCTGGGCCTTCTCTCCCACAGTATGGGAGGGAGGAGGTCTGGCCAGACAGGGACACAGGGAGCCTCAGGCATCCCTCAGAGAAAACTCCTTGTGCCTATGCCTCTGAAGATCAAAATCAGAACACATGAGCAAATAAGCCAAAGGATGAGTCCAGTTCCTTTCAGAGTTTGACAGTGATTGCTGAAGAATGCTTTGCTGAAACCTCTGCTTCTGACAGCCATACACTCCCGACTCTAGGGTGCACCCCGTGGTATCTGGTTTCACCCCATTCACACGGCAGCTGCCCAGCCATTGCTTGTCCCCAGTACTGACCCAACCTAGACCAAGTTGTGCAAAGGGTGGATGTGACAAGGCAGATGAACTGAATGGACACCCAGAACTGGAGGAGCACAGAAGAAGGAGAGTTCTTCTTCTTAGGGAGGCCCTGAAGGGGAGGGGGGCCTCGCCTGGCCCTCATAGTAGGAGAAGGAGGTGGTGTCTGAGCTGGGGAAGGAAGAGTGTGGCCTGGCAGCACCCTTTTCACCCCCACACCCACCTTTGACACACAGCGTCTGTTCAGCCATGAGGGCAGCAGCTTCCAGATGTTCAGCTCTGAGGCCTATGGTCAGAAGAACCTGCTATTCAAGGACTCTACCACGGAGCTGGTGCCCATCGCCACGCAGACCTATGAGGCATGGCTGGGCCGCGAGTACCTGCATGCCATGAAGGGTCTACTCTGTGACCCCAACCGTAAGTCCCTGTCCCTACTCCTGCCAGCTCCACCCCAGCCTGACTGTGGCATGGCAGGGTCTCTGAGGTGGGTGGGCAGGGGAGGACACTCACCTAGGAGACCTGCCATATACCTATGGCCCCTATGGGAGCTGGTCATTTCTAGTTCTCTGCCTCTGGGGCTAGTGGGGGAAGCCTCTCTGTGGTTATTGGACCTCTGGACCCTGGAAACCCCACCTGCTCCAGGAGGCAGGATCCCAGCCATTAGGGTCTGTCTTAGGGCCATTGAGTTCTGTCAGTTCTGCCCCCACAACCTCTCCTTCCTCCTCCCTTTGTCCACCCCATGGCTTCAGCCCTGTCTCTGGCATTGCCTGGAGTATTGCAGTAGTCTACAAATGGGCTTCGTCTCTCTAGTCCCTGACCCTATCTATAAGCCCTCCCCCAACCAGGGAAATGGTGGCCAGACACTCAGATACATGGCAGCCGTGGTCTGCCTCCAGCTTCTCACTGCCCCATGGAAGAGGCAGATTACCCCTTCCTGTGTGAGGAAGTGGGATCAGATGGTTAAATAATGTAACCTGGACACACAGCTAACAAGAGAAAGGCCCAGAGTTTCCCTTGGGTCTGACTTCAAGCTCTTCCCACTGAACACCAGCGCCCACACGCCCACCCACACAGGGATGCCCCACTACCTGCGCTGGTGCGTGCTCTCCACACCCGAGATCCAGAAGTGTGGTGACATGGCGGTGGCCTTCAGCCGGCAGAGGCTCAAGCCTGAGATCCAGTGTGTGTCGGCCCAGTCCCCCCAGCACTGCATGGAGCAGATCCAGGTGTGCCACAGTGGGTCAGGTGGGCATGTGGTGGTTTTGCCTGGGATGGTCCTTAGCATCCCCCCAGCCCCATGCTGCCTGGGGAGGAGGACATCTCCTGAGAGAAGGCCATAGAGAAAGCAGTGAAGGAGGACCACAGTGGGCCAGGAATAGACCTGTGGTCTTGGGAAAGCCCCTTTCCTTCTTTAGTCTCAGTTTCCCCCTGTGCACAATAGGTGGGCTTGCATCATTGTTTGCTAAATATTTTTGAAAGCAACAGACACTCAGAAATATATTTCATATCAATCATTGTCTGGTGCACAAAAACCTTTTTCTTTGCTTCTTTGCTTGGAGACTGAGGCCAGAAGGCAGAGAGGAATCCAGGTCTCTGCAGCCAGGGAGGACATTCTACTGTGATCACAGGTGTCCAGTCTTGGGCCCTTTGAACTCTTCCTGTTTTAAGGGCAAGGAGTTAGAGGTTGATAGGGCAGTCCCTGAGCACAGGTCACAGCTCCCCAGGTGTGCCCTCCCTGCCCAGGCCAGAGAAGCACATTGCCTAGAAAGTCAAGAAAAGGAGCATGGGCAGTAATAAAAGGGGCCACCTGGCTCACACCTGGTCACCACTGAGCCTACCGTGCAGATTACCTCACTGAATCCTTACAAGCACCCTGGGGGTGAGAATGGTCATTAGCTCCATTCACAGATCTGGAGATGGAGGCTGAGAGAGGCTGAGGAAGTACCTTACCCAAGGTCACCAGCTCAGATATGGAGAAGCCACTCTGCCTAGGGCCTGCGGGAAGTCGTCTCTGCAGAGCTGAGCTCATCCGTGTGCAGCACAAATGGAGGAGGCACCTCAGCTGGAATTGATGAAAGAGAGGCTGGGGACTTTATTTCCAGATGCCTTTCCCAGGGCCCCAGAGGAGTTAGAGAAGTGGGAAGAGGCTTCCTCTAGGCAGGAGCCTCCTCTCAGTGGCTGCAAAGGGCCAATGAATGGGCTGCCCAGGGCTGCGGGAAGAGAAGCAAAGGTCAGGGTTCCTCGGAACCCAGTAAGATGCTCAAAGATCCTGAGTTCTAGTTTCCAAGGCTCTCAGGGGTGGCATCCAGTGTGGCTCTTATCTCTACTTCCTGTGCAGCTGCAGTGACCCAAGAAAGGGACCCTCACTCAGGCAGGATCCTGGGCTGTGGGGGTCCAGGTTCTGTGTCCACCCTGACACTGCAGTAGGTGAGAGAAAGTCTATGTGAGGGGAGAGGGGCCCCTAGAGGCGTACCCTTCAGGCTTGAAATGTAGTGCCACTGCTGCTGCCCACTAGTACTTTATGCCTCTGGGCCTAAAGGTATGGGCCACCTTCCTGGGCTGTCGGGGTCCCTCTGTTACCTGGCCTTATCCCCTTCCCTTGGGGTTATTCAGGCCACTATGGATTACCAGCTACCCTTAGCAGGGTCCTGGGGCCACCTGCCAAGAGGCTTCAGATGGACAAATGGGGTGGGCTACAGGTGACCTGGGGGGCTCCCGGAGGGTCTGAGGGAAGAGGGCCCTGGATCCCTTCAGCTGCCTCCTACAAGGGGATTGGTGTCTCAACCCTGGGGCCTCCTCCCACAGGCCCTAAGACTGCAGTCACCTAAGACCTAGGTCATTCTCCCATTTGTGCATGCATTTGACTGAAGTGTCTTACAATCACACCATGTCAGCCCTTGGCCCGGTGCTGAGACACCTCAGGCAATCTGTAGAGTACCCACACCTAGCAAGAAGGCAGGGATGGTGATCTCTCTGTCCCCTGTAGGCTGGGAACATCGATGCTGTGACCCTGAGGGGCGAGGACATTTACACATCAGGGAAGGTGTATGGCCTGGTCCCCGCGGCTGGGGAACTCTACTCTGGTGAGTGTGGTGCCAGCTGTCTGGCTTCCGCTGGGTGGTGGTTGATGTCTTTATAAAAATGAAAATTTGCCCCTCAGCATTTTCAGAAGCTCCAGCTCTCCCTAGTGCCTCTGTCCCTAGGCTGGGTGCCTCTGTCACCAGGGAAATCCCTCCTGCCATGGCCTGGTTTCCCCATCTATACGATGAACATCCCTATGGGATCAGCAAATTTTTTTTCAAAAAATTTTTATTCTAATTTGTTATATGTGACAGCAGAATGCATTAAAATTCATATTACACATAAAGAACACAGTTTTTCATGTCTCTGGTTGTACACAAAGTAGAGTCACACCATTCATGTCTTCATACATGTATTTTTGGTAATGATATCCACCTCATTCCACTGTCATTTCTAACCCCATGCCCCCTCCTTTTCCCTCCCACCCCCCTGCTCTATCTAGAGCTCATCTATTCCTCCCATGCTCTTCCTCCCTACCCCACTATGAATCAGCCTCCTTATATCAGAGAAAACATTCGGCATTTGATATTTGGGATTGGCTAACTTCACTTAGCATTATCTTCTCTAACTCCATCCATTTACCTGCAAATTCCATGATTTTATTCTCTTTTATTGCTGAGTAATAAAAGATAAAAGTATATATGCCACATTTCTTTTTATCCATTTATCTACTGAAGGGCATGTAGGTTGGTCCCATAGTTTAGCTATTGTGAATTGTGCTGCTATAAACATTGATGTGGCTGTGTCCCTGTAGTATGCTGTTTTTAAGTCCTTTCAGTATAGACCAAGGAGAGGGATAGCTGGATCAAATGGTGATTCCATTCCCAGTTTTTAAGGAATCTCCATACTGCTTCCCATATTGGCTGCACCAGTTTGCAGTCCTACCAGCAACGTATGAGTGTTCAGCAAACTTTTTGTAAAGAGTCAGAGACTTTAATCTCTGTTGAATATTCTTTTTCCTTTAAAACACTCAATTAAGGGGCTGGGGATGTGGCTCAAGTGGTAGCGTGCTTGCCTGGCATGCGTGCGGCCCGGGTTCGATCTTCAGCACCACATACAAACAAAGATGTTGTGTCCACCGAAAAATAAATATAAAAAAAATAAAAAATAAAACACTCAATTAATAAATATTTTAAAAATTGTTAGCTTGCAAGCCAGGCTATAAAAATACAGGCCACCGTGGCATTTGCTGACTTTGAACATCCTCAGCCCCTCCCTGCCCTGACTATGGAAGCCCACAGAAGAGACACTCAGGATCCCCCCTTGTAGGCTCATTCAGACCTTCTCAGTGGGCTGGGCTGGGCTTTGGCCTCTGTCCTATTAAGTGATGACCATGGGGGCCTTTCGTCCTTTCCTTTGGCTGTGAAAAATCTCTGGGTTTAGAGAAAATGCTGCAACCCTCAGCTGTGCCTCCAATTTTCTCCCAGTAGGTGAGAAAAGTACCACCTGGGTGTGAGGAAAGAAGGAAAGTGCTTTGAGTGGGGGCTATTGGGGGTGGGTGGGGTCCAGACTGGAGAGTGAGCCACACAGGCTGCTGAATAGGCTGCTGGACGGCCTTGGGTTGGTCACCCCTGAGCCTGCAGAGCCCCAGGGCAATCACAGCTCTCAAGCAGAGAAACAGGAAGCGACAAGTTTAAGGAAACACCCGTGGGGATTGGTCCTGACTCTGATAGGAGACCCCTTGTGGGATGTCCCTGTCCTTTCAGAGGCAGACAGGAGCAGTTCATACTTCGTGGTGGCTGTGGTGAGGCGGGACAGCTCCTACGCCTTCACCTTGGACGAGCTGCGTGGCAAGCGCTCCTGCCACTCAGGCTTCGGCAGCCCAGCAGGCTGGGACGTGCCAGTGGGCGCCCTCATCCAGAGAGGCTTCATCAGGCCTCAGCACTGTGACATCCTGACAGGTACTGCCCTCCAAGAGACACAGGCTTGGGAACTCTTCTTTGACAGGATGGGAAGGCCACCAGCACTGAGGGTCCTCTTGAAGGCAGCCCTGAGAGATTTCCCCTTCCCTCTTGATATGGTCCTGTCTATAGGGAAAGCTGGGAGCTATGCCTGATGTCACGCACAGTATTTATGGCTTCCTGGTGGCTCTGTGGACGCTGCCCAGGTACCCTCTGTCCACCACTGACCTGAGTGGAACTAACCCTATGGGTATGAGTGTGTACACACATGTATCTGGACCTAGCTGTGACACCAGCTGGTCATAGGGTTTTACCCATCACCCAGCAGTCCCTAGGCATCTGGGATGCCCAGTTGGAAAGTGGCCAGGCTCCACATAAGTGCCCAAGAATCCACACAAGTGCTAAGATGGGGAAGACACATTTGCCAAGCACCCGCCATATGCCAGGCACGAAGCCGCTCTTCTTGGTGTGAAATCATGTGATAATTCATGGTGGAAGGAAAGTCGTGGGAAGCCAGCAAGATCCTTGGGCAGACTGGCTAAGGACCTCTGTCCTGGCTGGTAACAGGGAAAATAAACACATTACTTTTTTTTTTTTTTTTCTAAATACCCATGGAATCACTCAGAGGGCATTATGGTCGGCAGCTCCCTCTTTCAGACAGCTGGGCACTTGCTTTGATAGGAAAAGAAAAGCATGTGAGGCAGTGAGTCTCCTATCCCTGAGGGAGTTTAAGCACAGGTTGGTGGGCAGATCTGTGGGGGAGCAATCCACCCACCGCCCTGGCTATCTTTCTGCCATGGCCCTTCACCTCAGCCCTTCCCCTCTCCTCCAGCGGTGAGTGAGTTCTTCAATGCCAGCTGTGTGCCTGTGAACAACCCCAAGAGCTACCCTTCCTCTCTGTGTGCCCTCTGTGTGGGGGACGAGCAGGGCCGCAACAAGTGTGTGGGCAACAGCCAGGAGCGGTACTACGGTGACAGTGGCGCCTTCAGGTACGCAGTGGCAGCCAGCAGGTGGCCTGGGGCCAGCACAAAGGCTGGAACCATCTTCTGACCCCTGCCCTGCCGTCTGTGTGGCAGATGCCTGGTGGAGAATGCGGGGGACGTTGCCTTCGTTAAACACACGACTGTCTTTGACAACACAAACGGTATGTGACGGGGCTGCCCAGAGCAGGGGATGAGTAGAGGGGCTGTCCCGTCCAGCCCAATCCAGGCACTGGCTGTCTCTGTATTTGGGATCCAAACAGCAGCTGGGAGAGCTTGAGTCTAGAAGGCTCTGCCCACAGGAGCCTAGGAGCCCCAAGGACCACAAGGTAAGAAGGAACCTCAAGCCTCACATCCAGGTGTCAGGGCACTTGATGATCTTGCTGATCTGGGATCAAGTCCATATTCCACTAAAGTGTCGACACTCTATCTCAGTCAGCTTGGAGACCTGCTCTCGGGGTGTTGTTAAGCAGTGCTGAGGCACATGGGTGGAGTGACAGGGGCCTCTTCACAGTTTGGTCACATTAGCATCTGGTCTTTGGTCCTTAGCAGGGTGGTGCCCCAAGCAGGGAGGTCCCCCCCGGCTCTGAGCCTTGCCAAGGCAGGGCCACCCTAGACACACCACATGGGCAGCTCTTACACTGGAATCACCTTCCCTGCTTCCACCTGAGAAAAGAGCTCCGCATCACTCTTCCCCAGGGTCCCCTAAACCTCCACTTGAGGTTCTTTCATAGTAGGGCTTCTTAGCTTGCAGGGCCCCCACTCATTCAGAGGACCTGTGTCCTCTGGGGTGACTGGAGGCTGTTTCCCCAACACCCAGTGCTCGTACTTTCTGCCTACCCTGCAGTGTCCCAGGCTTTGAAATACCAAATACTGTGGGCTTAGTCATGACAATGTGTCCTAACATCTCTTCTCCAAGACTCATCCCAGAAAGGCACAGAGGCCACACAGAAAGGATACTGGGATTGATCAAGGGGAAGCAAGACACGCAGGGAAAAATATCAGTCTTTTAAAACTCAGATCCCACTGGCCTTTAGAGGTCACCAAGGTGGCAGGACTGTTTGTCTCAACAGAGCCCGGGAAGGCTCCAGGCCGCGAGCCTACCTTCCACCCAGAATACTTGGGACCATCCTCTAGGAGGAGGGAACCATGTTCCCAGCACAAGCCCACTAGCTCTGCCTGGTCCCCCCTAACAGAAGCTCCTGCTAATCATATTTACCCAGTGGGCTTTGTTACCCCGGCAACAGAGTAGAGGACTTGGAGAATGGAGAGGGTTGTGGAACTGGCCAGATATTGCCACCTCTGCCCAGCAAAGGTTCTCAGACTGGAAGGAAAGTGGCCTCTCCCCAAACTTCTCCCTGTCCTGTGCTCCTCCCTCAGGCCATAATTCTGAGCCCTGGGCTGCTGCATTGAAGTGGCAGGAGTATGAGCTGCTATGCCCCAACGGGGCCCGGGCTGAGGCCAACCAGTATGAAGCCTGCCACTTGGCGCAGATACCATCCCATGCTGTCATGGTGCGGCCAGACACCAACATCTTCACTGTGTATGGACTGCTGGACAAGGCCCAGGTAAGTCCTGGACATTCCTCCAGCAACTATCCTATTTCCTGCATCATTAATTTTTCCTTTTCAACTGGACCATTCGTATCAACATCTCTGTGTGGCAGATGCCTGGTGGAGAATGCAGGGGACGTTGCCTTCATTAATAACACATTTGTATTTGTTATTCTTTTTGCCATCTGTAAAAATCAAACTAACCCTCTTGGTATCACAGGCTCTTATAACCCACTCCCTTTGAGAGCAGAACTCCTCCAAAGGGTTACCTCTATTCTGGAGTCATCAATCCTCTCCTTCAGTTCTCTCTTAAGAATGGAGACTACTCCAGACAGGCCCTACCATGGCCCTCAAGCTGTCCTTGTCAAAATCACAGTGACCTGTGTTGCTAAATCCAGCAGCTGCTTCTTGATCCTCATTGTGCCTGACTTCCCTGTAACACTGGCTACAGCTCCCTCCTCCTGAAAATTCAAGTCCCTCCCCTAGAAGGGGGTCCCAGGTCCCCACACCTGCCTGGCTCTCCTCCCACCTCTAGGGCTTCTCCTTCCCAATTCTTCTCCTGGTTCCTGCTCACCTCCCTGGCATGTAAATAAGGATGTAAATAAGTCCTAAGCCCTCTTCTCTGTCTACACTTATCCCCTCATTAATCTCATCTTGCCTCATGTCGTTAACGACCATCTATACACAGATGGCTCCTAAATGTACATCCTCAGCCCTGATTTCAATCCCATATTTCCATCCCAAACTGATATGGTTAACATGCCTACTTGATACTTCGCTCTGTATTTCTAACAGGCATCTCCAACTGATCAAGTCCAAGGGTGAACCCTCCTTCCTCCTCCAGTTGCCTGCTTCAGTTAACAGCAACTGTTGTTTTTCCATTTCCTCAGAAGTCATCTCTGACTTGTGCTCTACATCCTGTCCATCCACAGTTTGTTACTTACAAAATGCATCTAGATTTTGAGCCTAGCTGTCCAAGGAGCCCCTGGTTTCAAACCTCCAACCCTCTTCCTTCCTCCATTGATTTAGGTGGAAACGGTGCTCTCTGCCCACCAGCACCACAGAATTCCAGAGCCACTGGCTCTTCAGGCCTGTTCCCAAACTAAAATTTTATGTTCTCCGCTTGTCTTCCCCATGGAGTTCCTCCATCCCAGGAGTTCCTTACTCCAGGCCTGTGGGCTTTCCCTGGAGTCTCTAAACCCTCTGAAGTAATGTGGAAAGAATTCTGTGCACATGCATTTTTCTGGGAAGAAGGCCGACAGCTCTCATCAGATCTTCAAGAGGATCTGAGTCCCCTCAAAAAAAGATTGATAGCCACTTACTTCTCCTTCCCCCTTTGATTATATTTATCAGCTGACTGACATTTATGCCTGATCTCCAGATGTCCTTTATTCATGTGTTTATAGGTTCTCACAATACTTCTGGTCTTCTTAATAGCTCTTTCAGGCTGTTCACAGCACATTCAATGCAAGGATTCCCAGCAAGGAATTGAATAGCAGCACCATTGCCTGGACACTGGAGAAGGGGGAGTTGATTAGTGAAGATATCCTCAACTCACCTATTATTTTATTACCGGTGACAATCTTGATGAGATTATTTTGGTTTGTAGGAAAAGATACCCCTAAGATACATCAAGAAAACAGTATCCAAAAAGTTTGAAAAATGCTGAGCAAGCTTAGCAAAAATTTAGTAATCTGATCCACACCATAGCTCATTTCTGGGTCTTCTTGTTTCTGTTCTTCATCCAAGAAGTGGTTTGGTGTAACTTCTTGAACCACTATCTTAAGGTGATACCTCTAGACATAGATTTTCCCAAGCCCCTTCCATGACAGAGGCCCGTAAGTGGTCAAGCTGATGGCTTCAAATCAGAATCTTGGTACCCTGAAGTTACTTGCTCTTTGGGTCTCCTGTAACCATCTGTAAGCCTGGATGAAAAGTTGGTTGCTTGCGGTGCTTCCAGGACCTGTTTGGAGACGACCACAATACGAACGGGTTCAAAATGTTTGATTCCTCCAAATACCATGGCCAAGACCTGCTTTTCAAGGATGCTACGATCCGGGCAGTGCCTGTAGGGGAGAAAACCTCATACCTTGACTGGCTGGGACCTGACTACGTGGCAGCTCTGGAAGGGATGCTGTCTCAGCAGTGCTCTGGCACAGGTAGGGCCCTGTCACATCCCCCTGGCATCATTCAGACCCTTTCACCCTAAAACCATGAGAGCTGAGGGCACTCTAGGTCTCAGGCCAGCAGAACAGAGGCCCCCTGTGTTTCACCTACCATTCAGGGGAAGAGTTCTGGGAGGGTCTAAACAGGGAAACTGCAGACAATTCTGGCAGGAACTGGCCATGTCACCCAAATAGCCCTGGATAATGAACATAAATGCTAAAAAGGATATTCCAAAGAGGATCTGAGGTAACGACATACATATTCATGTAGTATAATTTGGACGGGAATGAATATGTACAGAAACCAAGAGAACGGATAATTGTAAAAGGGTAGATAGAAAGAGGGGGCTGGAGCGAGCCGAGCACCCAGAAACCCGGCCGCCCACAGTCCTGCGTGCAAGCAGACGGCCGGTGCCAGGGCTTCCGGGTCTTCCAAACTGTCCCTTCTTCCCCAGCGGCTGCCCAGCCCCCAGGTCCCCATCTGCCACTGCTGCTGCCGCTCTTTACTGGCCTCCTCCTGCACGCCCTCTGAGCGCCACTCGGGCCAGCTGGCCTCGCGACCTGCTAGGAACCGCAGCCGAGGCCAGTCTGTGCAGGGCCTTGGCTGACACTGTCCTGAGAAGCGTCGCGTGCTGGAGAGGAACGGGAGGAACCACGCACAGAGCTCCCCAGAACTCCCGCTCTGACCCAACGAGAAGTTTCTGGAATGGAGATGAAGGCTAAGGCAAAGCCCCCTCCCTCCCGCGGAGCCACCCGCCCCCAGCCGCCTGGCCCTGGCCACCTGAGGCGGCTGGCCCGATGCCCAGTCACGCCGCCCAAGCTGGCAGCGCCTCCCTGCCAACCTGCAGCCTCCCACCTGGAGCCGGTGGCTGGCTGCGGAGAAGGCCGGTCGCCAAGGAAACCGCTGAGCCCGCTTCCCACGCGGCCCTCTGCTGCGCGGCGGCCTGGGGACCTGAGAGCGCCTGCTGGGCCAGCTGCCCAGAGGACGCTGCGCCTCCGCCCCGGCTCCCGCCGGCACCACCTCCTTCCCACACTTCTGAACCAGCCGCTGGTCGCCTCAGCCTTTTGTCCTTGTCTTCTGAGGCTCCAGTGAGCGTGTGGGCAGCTGATTCTGCACGGCCGTGGAGGGAGAGCAAAGCTGGACTGTAGGGATGACACCCTCAAGGGACCCTCAGAAGAAGGAAATGCTTCTCAGTAAGGGATTAGTTGGTGGGGGGCTTGATGCAGGCTTGGGGGCTGTAATCCTGCCTAAAAACACATCTGTTGGTGAATCCAGTTCCATCCCAGGGCAAAGCCCATCAGATGGAATCCACTCCTGAGTTTCCTCTTCTGGGCTCAGTCTCAGATTATCTTCTCTCCCTGCCCCACTGTGGTTCCCCTAACCCCTCAGCCTATTTCTGGACACCTGTGCTGCTGTTTACTGCTAAATGAAGGAGCAGGATGTGGCCCAGGTAGCCCATAGGGGGAGACCCTCTGAAGAACAGGGTGAAGACCTGCCATTCTCTCTCTCAGGATCTGCCATTCTCTCACCCTAGTAAGCTCCGTCTTCTCCCTTAACTTTGTACCTATGGGGTCCAGGGCCCACCCGCTCCAAAGAAAGGGTTCCCAATTTCTGACCCCTGTGAGAGTAAGCAGAAAGAGTGTGGAGAGAGTCCTGTCTCCACTCCATTTTGCCATGGTTCTCTGAGGAGCCAGAAAAAGTTTTCCAGAACTCCAAGCTTACTCTGAATTTTGCTCCCTGAAAAAAAGAAAAAAAAAAAAAAGGGAAAAGAAGAAAGAAAGGAAGAAGAAACGAGAGCAAACAGCTCTCGTCAACAGACTGAGAGCCGCGTGGGCCTGGAGCTATTTGTATCCTGGTCTGCGGGGGCCTTGGGGATGCTGATGACAGGCCAGGTTCCTGGTGGTTCGCCCCCACCTGTGTGCGCTGGGCTTATCCCTTACATGTCTCAGCAGTGAAGAAGGCCCTGGCAGCATCCTGGTGATAGCCACACCATCCTGAGGAGTCCTGGCCACCATGCTAGGGCAGCCCTCATCCGCTGCAAGAGGCCAGAAGGAGTTAGGCCTCCTACTCTGGTACCCTCTTCACTGGAGAGAGAGTGTGATTCTTCTTAGACCTAATGATTGTTTGATTTTTTTTTTTAAGGGAACTTTGTGCAGTGAGAAGTCTATATCTCTGTGGCTACCCTGGACTAGCGTGCTACCCAATGTGGTGCCATATACTGTGTGCTATGGAAGGTGTGATTTTCATGAGTGCTGCGTAAGTGATGGTCTGATCGTCAGGTGATAGTAAGGGCTGTGTTACTGCTCATGAAAGATGTTGGTTTGTTTTTTAAATAAAATCAAACAACCCTGCACACGCAGAGGCTTGGATTCTGATAGAAACTTTCTGCTACTGATTCATTTTGTTTCCTTGGGTACTCAGAGGCCTACCTGCCCAGACTCACTGTCCTGCCTCACCCAGAATGGCAGATTCCACTCAGAGGCCTGTTATCCAAGAACCAAAATCAGGGACCATTCTGGGCCTCCAGCCAGCAAAGCCCCCAGCTTCCTTCTCCCATCTGGACTGCTTCTCTGGCCCCCACAGTGCCTCAGCCATCCCCAGCACATTCCAGCTGCTTCCACCCACTCAGCCCCTTGGGTGTCCTGTCCACTCTCCGGGGACTGGGTACAGAGGAGGATGTAAACTTCTCCACTGCCCCTTGTCTTGTGTCACTAAAATAAGCCACCCACATCCTGGGTGCTAACTCACTGGTGGGGGAGAGAGAGGAGCGGATCTCTAAGTCCTCACAGTGGGTGCTTTTGGGCCTGTACTGAAGTATAGATGGGCCCTGCTTGGTCAGAGTCTGAACCCTGCCATCCCTCAGGGGGTGGAGGTTTTTGTACTCCCCTCTCCATTCTGTCCCACCATCACTGCAGCCTCTCACACAGCTAGATTTTACCTGCCAATGGACACAGGCCATTTCCCATTGGTGTGTACAGTGAGAAGATATTCCTGAAGGAGCATTTTGTAGAAATGACAAAATGCTACGATTTTTTTAAAAGATATCTCAATTTGGGAAAAAAAAATTGGATCACTTACCTAGGATTGAGGAAATTTGAATTCTAGTCTATGTCTGCTATTCACCTTGGGCAAATATTTGCTCCTCCCTCAATTTCAGTTCCCAAATCTATCCAATGGGAAGTTTGAATAGTCTCTTAGTGGTTTTTTGCTCTACCAGGTTTTTTTTTTTTTTATTGGTTGTTCAAAACATTACAAAGCTCATGATATATCATCTTTCATACATTTGACTCAATTGGGTCTACCAGGTTTTATAAGTCAGTCTTCCTAGGGCTGCTTCTGGCTGGTACTGAAGTGCAGAGGACCAGGTGGGCTTCTTCATTTCCCCTTCCCTGGTTGGCACTACTAACCCTGAAGCTGTTTCCCAGCTGAGAATCATTATATGCCAGGAGCTCTTGCACTCCTGTGTGTGTCAGATCACGTCAAGAGCTTGTTGAAACAGATTGCTGCTCCTACCCACCCTTCTCAGTTTCCATTCTGTGGGTTTCGGGAAGGGGGGTGTCCCAGAATTAACATTTCTGTCAAATTCTCAGGTGATGCTGATGCTGTGGGTCCATCCACTTTGCTTTGAACGGCTGTTTAAGGCACCGTGAGCTCACACACAGTGAGGACATCAATAGCTGCCTGTCCCAGTGGAGTCCAAGGCTTAGGTGGGGAAATGGAGTGGTTAGAGTCCCTTGTGGAAGAAGCTAGGCCCTGCCCAGGGGACCTGTGGCCTAGGGGGAGGGGGTGTCTCCACAGGGAGAGGTAGGATGGGCAAGAAGGTGCTTGAGCGGCTGTGGATTCAACAAGCTGCAGGAGAGGAACAGCATGCAGTCACCACTCTTTTCCAGCATGTGGCTCTGTCCTCCCTCTGGCCCTGGCCATGGTACTCCCCACCCTAGCAGCCTAAGTCGGGTTTTTAGGAAGAAGGGAGAATCCAAATATCAGCCTGGGAAGGATGCGTGTGGTCAGAATATACCCCTTCCACCTCCTTCTTGGCTTGGAAGTCTCCAGAAACCTCTAATTCAGCACAAAATCCAAACTGTATTCTCTACTGTGGCCAACCTTTAGGACAAGGGGATGGATGTGAAGGGCCTGGTGGCTTGCTGGGTAGGGTGTTCTTAGCCAAGATCCCAACCCAAACAACTATGAGGCCCACTCTGCCACTGACCCAATCACTTCTTTCCTTCTTTCTCCTAACAGACCCTAACTCTGTTCAGGAGGGCAATGTGCCCACCTAAAAACATTCATTTATGGGACCAGACAGTTGAGTTCTGGCTGAAGGAAACGATGTGCTTTGGGGGACACGTGCGTGGTGTGGGTTTCAAGAAGTCTGTTCAGGAGGAACAAACTGGGCGAGCATAGCCCTTCACCCCTGAGCCCTTCTTTTCTTCCTTCCTGGAGAGCAGACGTGATAGCTGATAAATGCAGCAATTACCTTGCTATATGAGGCAACAAGCAAAGGAAAAGGACAACTTGGCGGGGAGAGCTGAGCACTAGTGTCAAGTGGCAGTACACAGGCCTCCAGTGATCTAACCCCGATTCCCTAGCTGCCATTTGCAGTTTCCTCTTGTTTCCTCTGAAAACATCCTGACCCAATACAAGTGGTAATGGTGGAGACTGTGAGATAGGCCCAGAGGGCTCCTGAATTCTTGGCCTGGCCTTGTGACTTGTGTGGGACTCTGGGGAAGTCACTGCCACCTCAGGGACATGTTTCCCCATGTGTGGGAATGAACCTAAAGGTCTCCAGGGCCTCCATATGCCCTGTGTGGCCATATTCAAGGGCCAGAGTTGGTCCCAGCTGGGAGTTCCAGGACAGGGGATGGGGGGATTTTAGGGATGGGTCAGGAAGTCACCTTGGGAATGTGTGACATCCTGGGATTGGATGTCACACATTATCAGTGTCTAGATGAAAGGAGTACAGAATTTGAGCTTTCTATACTAATTTAGTTCAGTTATTATAATACTTTTAAAATCCCAAAGAGGAATTGTTTCTAAGTATCTCCTTGACCTTGACCCTGGGGTTCTTACTTGTCCCCAGTAGAAGCCGTGGGAAAGCTCTGCAGACATGTCCCCCACCCTATACCTTGTGAGTCAGGTGGGACTGGCTGTTGAAGCTGCAGCAAAAGCCTGAGACCCTTGGGATTTGGTCATGGGTCAACCTCTGTGATACATGAACCAATTTAGGCCTGGTTCTGGGGAAAGTACACGGCTTGAGTTTGGAGAAGGAGGAGGAAATCTAGGTACTGTGAGCAAAGAATTAAAGAATGGGAAATGGAGGAAGAGGCCCCAAAGCCCACCTTCCTCTACTCTGGCCCAGTCTCAGCCTGTCCTGGATAAATCCCCAAAGCACCTGCTGGTTCTGTGAGCTCTCTGAGGAGTAGCAAGTGTGAGGTCCCACAGTTTCATTGAGAAGAAGAAACCAAAAAGCACTTTGTGAAGGCCATCTTTGGACAGACATTGTCCCAAAGTGACAGTGACTGGTGAGGGTGACAGAGGTTTTAATGATCATGCTGGTATGCACCAGCTCAGGAGTATACATTCAACCTCTGCAGAAACAACTTGGGAATCTCAGTAAAACAGGGTCGATTGGCCTGTCAGACCCCAGGATTTTGTTTGCTCCTTCCCTTCCTGTCTCTCTGGAAGGCCTCCTCCAAAGCCCCAAGCCCACCCCTGGATGGAATCACTGTACCCTAGCAAAGCAACCTCTGACTTGTGACATGCCTCAAGGGTAGAGGAAACCTTGCCTTTGAATATAGTAAAATAGGTTCACCACATCTCTTTCCTTAGCAAAAAGTTGTATGTGTATGTGTTGGGACAAGAGAGGATTGTAATTATAAAGGTGAAAGGTACTCTCCCTTTGTTTTTTTAAAATAAGCCTTTCAGTGAAACTACTCTGTGTGACACTATAGTGGTGGACACGTCATTTGTCCAAACTCACAGAATTTCTAATATCAAGAGTGAACCCTAATATAAACTATGGGCTTTGGGTGACAACAATGTGTCAGTATAGAGTCATCAGTTGTAACAAAGGCACTACTCTGGTAGGGGTGTTGGTAA